GAGGCTGATGTGATTTCCCTTTGGGGAGGCTTCCAGCTCAAAGTGATGGTTGAATGCATGCTCTGTCACCATCTTCCTTCTGGAAGGCAAAACCCACAGAGAAAGAGAGAACGGGAGAGCAACAACATTCTGAAAGCCGGAAACGAGATGGATAGCGAGAGCCACTTATAGGAACCAAAAAACAAAACCCTAAGCAGGTGGAAGGAAAAACGGAGACACTGACTCACACAAAACCCACAAAGGGCTCAGGAGCTAAGAGCCTCGGGGACCCCGAGAAGTGGGGTGAAGGTGGAGTTATACGGAGCAGGGTCAGATGGAAGTCTGTTTAAAGAGAGTTTAGCCCGACAGAATCCCCCTCCACTCTGTGTAGCCAGTGGCTCCTCCTCATTCCTTTGGCAGAAGATTGGATATTCTTCTTTGGAGAAGGTGAAGGGCTGGGAGATGCCAGGCCTGCTGCAGGCAGGAGAACCTACCAAAAACAGAGGACTAAGGGACGGTCACTTGCTGAGTGCTGAGACCACAGCCTTCTTCCCTGCCCAGCTCCCAGGATGCGGCTGGCTCAGCCCCACCCTCCCCAGGCAGGAGTTAGAAGTCTTCTTGGGGAACCTTGATCAGCCTAGGGGCAAATACAGAAAGGTGTTGCCATCACGCAGTTTCCCCAGGATTCAGCCCATCAGACCACCCTGTGGAGAAGCCCTGCTCGACACACCCCACTTCGCTGTTGGACACAGATACAGCCAAGGATCACCAGACACTGGAGGGAAGCCGGGGACAGGAGACAGGGGACACAAAGACAAAACACTTGGAGGGATCAAATTCTTTTTTTTTTTTTTTTTTTTGAGACTGAGTTTCACTCTTGTGGCCCAGGCTGGAGTGCGATGGTGCGATCTCAGCTCATAGCAACCTCCGTCTCCCGGGTTCAGGTGATTCTCGTGCCTCAGCCTCCCAGGTAGCTGGGACTATAGGCATGCACCACCACACCTGGCTAATTTTTGTATTTTTAGTAGAAATGAGGTTTCACCATGTTGGCCAGGCTGCTCTCAAACTCCTGAGCTTAGATGATCTGCCTGCCTTGGCCTCCCGAAGTGCTGGTGTTCCTGGACCAAATAGGGTCGGGCTGCTATTTCTTGTGGCCCTATAACAAGATGCAGATGAACGTCTTGTTATTGAGGAAGAGAGTTTTTATTTTCTGTAACTGGTTACAGGGAGAAGGCCTGGAAATTATCACCAGACCGACTCCAAATTACAAAGTTTTACAGAGCTTATATACCTTCTCAGCTGTATGTCTATATGTAAGTGTGTATTCATCAAAAGATTTATACATGTATACATATAATTTATACATTATATAAATTAAAAGAAGTGACTTCTTTTAATTTATAACTAAGGTCTGAGTCCTGAAGACCTTCCTCTGGAGCCTCAATAAATTTACTTCATCTAAATGGGTCTAGGTGCTGGGGTGATTACCCTTATCTTATCTCCTGCTAAATCACGGAGGTTTGTGGAGTTCCTTCAGACTTCCAATAAACTTGTTAAATCCTAAATGGGTCCTGTTAAGAATTCCTTGCCTAGGCAAAACTTTTGATGGGCTTTTGGTACATTCCAGCCTTTGCATAAGGGCACTGGCTTTTAATATTTAACTTAACCACTCAGCCGGTACTGAAACAGTTGTTATGGAGGCCTGCGTGAGTGAGGCCTGGCCTGCCACACCGGGATTGCAGGCGTGAGCCACTGCACCCAGCCTCAGAGGGATCAAATTCTATAGTTAAAAAGAAATGGGCCTGTGGAATAACAGAATTATATCTAGAAAGGAATAGTAAGAGAATAAAATGGAAGTTTAAAAAGAGGAGGAGGAAGAGAGAAGGGGGAAGAAGGGGAAAGTGAAAGGAAGGACAACTCTGGGGCAATGAAAAATATTATAGCAGTAATTTAAAAAGATAAGAACCCAATGGAAGGGTAGAAAGATACAGTTCAGAAAAGTTCCCAAAAGGCAAAACAAAAGGAAAAAGTGATGGCAAATAGGAGAGGCAAGATTTTTACAATTTAAAAGACCAGTTCAGGGCTGGGTGCAATGACTCACACCTGTAATCCCAGTGCTTTGGGAGGCTGAAGCAGGTGGAACACTTGAGGTTGGGAGTTCAAGACCAGCCTGGCCAATATGGTAAAACCCCATCTCTACTAAAAATACAAAATTAGACGGGTGTGGTGGTGTACATCTGTGATCCCAGCTACTCAGGAGGCTGAGGCAGGAGAATTGCTTGAACCCAGGAGGCAGAGGTTGCATTGAGCCAAGATCCACGACTGCACTCCAGCCTGGGCCACAGAGCGAGACTCCATCTCAAAAAAAAAAAAAAAAAGAAGAAGAAGACCAGTTTAGGAGGCCCAATTCAAAATAATAAGTGTCAGTAAGAGAAAACAGAGTGAGAAAATTTATTAAAGAATTCAGGAAAGAGTCTCAGAACAGAGTAACACTTGCCTCCAGGTTGAAAATGGCCAAGTGCTCACACAACACAGGAGGCCCACACAACCCTGGAAAGTCTCACAGCGCTGGGCTCCAAGAAAAGATCCTAAAAATGTTCAGAGCAAAAGACAGATTACACCCTGTGTCGGGGCCCCACAAGACCACCCCCAGGTTCTGTGATTCCCTTAGAGAATTCGCAGGACCCAGCCGGCGATCATATTCACAGATCTGATGTATTACATTGAAAGGATACAGAGCAAAATCAGCCGCGGGAAAAGACACAAGCGTAGGGTGAAGTCTGGAAGAAACCAGGCACAAGCTTCTAAGAGTCTGAGCCTGAGACCTGAGTGTTAGGAAGATGTTGACTGTGCCCAAACCAGGGAAAGGGGCCATTGGGCACAGTTCCAAGACAGGAGCCAGTGTGGCTGGTGAGATGGCTAGGCGGCTGGGGCTCAGACAAGGCCGAGACTGGGCAGGGGCCAGGTGTGTGGGTTTGCTGAGCCAGAGTGCCAGGTTCACGCTTCCTTCTTCTTTTTTTATTTGAGATGGAGTCTCACTCTGTTGCCAGGCTGGAATGCAGTGGCACGATCTTGGCTCACTGCAACCTCTGCCTCCCAGGTTCAAACAATTCTCTTGCCTCAGCCTCCTGAGTAGCTGGGACTACAGGCACCCACCACCATGCCTGGCTGATTTTTTGTTTTGTATTTTAGTAGAGACAGGGTTTCACCATGTTGCCCAGGCTGGTCTCGAACTCTTGAGCTCAGACAATCCATCCACCTCAGCCTCCCAAAGTGCTAGGATTACAGGCATGAGCCACCGCGCCTGGCCCACGCTTCCTTCCAAGTACAGCGAGCCACCATTAGGAGTGGCTCAACTCTTCTGTGGAGTCACATAGGACACACTTCCCTCCTCCCCCAGTGAGGTGTGACAACATGTGTGAAATGTGGTTGTTAACTGGGGACTGGTCACATAGACACCCTCTACCTGGCAGGTACCCAGATTCCAGACTCCCCAAAGGAAAACAGGTGCTCAGCATAAACCATCTTGTTTGTACAAACAATGTAAGGCACAGCAAGCCACTCATCAGCTCTGGGAATGGTGGGAGCCCTTCCGAAATTTAAGTTCCCAGATGACAGCAAAAAGCCAACCTTTCAAGCAAGCCCTTCTAAGGACAGCAGTCTCAGACCTGCTGTCCTAACTCTTTTCTGAACAAGAGAATCAGAACAGCATTGTTTCTCCAGCAATCCCGAAACAAGGTTCCAGAGTCCGGAGGATAATTATTTCAAATTTAGAGTTCTGTCAGTTAAGTGTGAGGGTCGAATTTTCAGACACACAAGGCTTCTAAAAATGTATCACCCATTCTTCCTTTCTTGGAAAGCTACTAGAGATGTTGCTCTACCAAAATGAGGGTGTAAATCAAGAAGAGGAAGACATGGGGTCCAAGAAATGGGATTTAATATGAAATAGAGAGACAGAGAGAGATAAATGTATTCCTGGATTATGAAGTAAGGCCCCAAGGTAAAGGCTGTGCCTCAGTCCTAGAGGTCACCCGTCCAGAGAAGACCCAGAGGCTCTGGGAGAGGCTCCCTCAGGACAAAGAAACTGATGAAAGTATTTGGTCACATGGAAAAGAGAGTTACAAACTGGGGAAGAATTAGAAACCATAAAAAAAGTATGGCAATTACTAACTCCAGGAATAACAAAAAGTTGTCTAGAAAAAGAGAAACAATCAGGGCTGGTCTGTCGATAGCATTTCTATAATCAGAATAACAAACACTGAGTACTTATCTGGCCAAAATTATGATATAATTGTTAGAAGGATGATGTGGGGACTGAAATTATGCATTGGCAGGGAGTCAAGGCTGGGAAGCAGGTTGTGTGTGTGAAAGAAAGTTAAACCTTCATCTTCCGTAGTGGACAGTCAAAAATGTATTAGGACATAATAAAAACTGAAACATTAGAAAGTAGCAATTTAAGCATTGTTTTTTTCAAGAAACAGAGTAAAATTCCAAAAGAATCCATTAAGAGAGTTGAAATTGGTTGCCTACAGGGAGCTGGACATTGAAGGGAGGTTGGGTTGCGGGGGACTATTGTTTGCAAAAACCTATAGAACAACTTGACTCTTTTAATTGTTGATGACAGTAAAATGTAAAATCAAATTTAGATGTAAATTAAAAGCAAAGCAAAAGAAGGAAAGGAGGAAGAGTAAGAAAGAAAGGAGGGAGGGAGAAGAGGAAGAAGAAGAGGAGAAGAAAGAAGAGCGAGGGGAAGGAGCGAGGCAGGGAAAAAGATGAAAAGACGATCATGCTGTCTCTGCTCTGGTCAGGCCAACTCTTGCTTGTTCCAGACCTCACCCTCCCCAAGCATGAGCCTCTCTTGGGAAGAGCAGCTGGAAGCAGAGGGAGCTAGGAGACCAGACACAAACTTGGGCTCGGCTGAGGGATGGGAGTTGATAGTCAGGTGCCTGGAACATAATGGAGACTGTTCATATTGGTTGAATGAGTGGATGAATGAATTAATGAATTTCTTTTCTCTTAAGTCCTGCAGCTCATTAAGTCACAGAAATTTCTGAATAAGTTGGTGATCTTGGTGGAAACAGAGAAGGAGAAGATCCTGCGGAAGGAATATGTTTTTGCTGACTCCAAAGTAAGTGACAGCAAACTTCTAAAATGGGCTGTGAGGTAGGGAGGGGACACATGCATTTTGAGGCTCGCTGTGTGCCAGGAAGTGTGCATCATTAGCTCACTCAGTTCCCAGAACAACCCATTTCATACCTGGGAAAGGTGAACTTAGAGAAGTTGAGGACCATGTTCCAGGTCGGCCTGGATTTGAGCTGTCACTGTCTCAGGAGCAGGGAGGCTTCCCACTTCGCCCAGCTGCCTCCCAGCCTCGAGGCCACATCCTTTATCACCCACATCTAACTCAGCCCCACGCCTGGAGGGAAGGCTTTTAGCTTCCCTGGGCTGGGCTTGGGAAACTTTTGGGACACTCCTGGATGGATGGATGGATGGATGGATTGATTGATTGATTGATTGATTGACTGACTTGAGACAGAGTCTTGCTTTATCATCTAGGCTACTGCAGTGGCATGATCACAGCTAACGGCAACCTCCACCTCCTGGGCTCAAGGGATCCCCTGACCCACCTCAGCCTCCTGAGTAGCTGAGACCACAGACACACACCGACAGCTAATTTTTTATATTTTGTAGAGACAGAGTCTTGCTGTGTTTCCCAGGCTGGTCTCGAACTCCTGGGCTCAGGCAATCTTCCAGCCTCCACCACCCAAAGTGCTGGGATTATAGGTGTGAGCCACCCCTGGATTTAAATCTGAGTCTCGACTGGAGCTCCAACCCAGAGACTTTCATTTCAATACTTTACCCAACTCTGCAGAAGAAAGATGCCCCTGCCAGGACGGGTTCCTGGGGCAAGAGATGCTGTGGGCCACTGGGGAAACCCAGGCTGGGCCTTTGTGCCCCCAGAGTAGGTTCTTTGTGACCTCACCCCTCATCTCAGAAATTCGAACCAGGGGCCAAAACACATCATCGTGGCCTCATTCATTGTTCTCTGCCGTGCAGCTCATGTGAAGCAGTAAAAATGGATTGCACCAGCCTGAACAACATAGTGAGACCCCATGTCTACAAAACAAAAAAATTAGGCCAGGCATGGTGGGTGCCTTATGCTCGTAATCCCAGCACTTTGGGAGGCTGAGGCGGGATGGTTGCCTGAGACCAAGAGTTCAAGACTAGAGTGCAACATGGTGAGACCCCATCTCTATGAAGAAAAAAAAAATAGTTGGGTGTGGTGGCATGAGCCTGTAGTTTCAGCTACTTGGGAGGCTGAAGTGGGAGGATCGCTTGTTCGAGGCTGCAGTGAGCTGTGATCACACCACTGCACTCCAGCCTGGATGGCAGAGCAAGGTCCTGTCTCAAAAAAAAAAAAAAGATTGCAGAGCGATAAGGTTGTCCATCACATCAGGTGCTGGCTGACATCTCACATCAGGGACCCCCAGCAAGGCCAAGGGACAAGGGCTTCTGGTGCAGGCCCACAGTGATAGCTCCCCACTGAATGCCCAGTCCCCGCTCCTACTTTTACCTCCAAAGCATCGGGGGTGGGCTGGTGGAAGGTCTAAGGCGTCCAGAGCTATCAGTAGTAGTAGAGAAGGGTCTGGGAGAAACAAGAGAATGAGGCCCAGACAGGTGGTGGGAGATGGAGAGAAAGACCGCCAGGCTGGAATGCTTTCTGAGCACCTGGGCATAGGTCCAAACACCAGCTCTGCCCCATTGCTGTGACCTCAAAAGGACTGAGGCACAGGAATAAATGGAGGCAATGAATCGTGAGCCACTCTCAACTCGAGGCAGGTTACAGTAAAGATGTCACTGTGACATCTTTGTGAGCTGGTGTCTTCAGGGAGGACTTACTGAGATTTGCAATTATGAGGTTGAATCACATAAAATTTCTGTCTTTGCAGGTTGAAATAGTCAAACACTGGTCATGTCATATGTTACAACCTGAAATTTTGTGTAGCTTTGTTAAAGTCAGCCTGCTCTGTTGATTGCATGCTAAGAGAGGGCCAACTGAGGCTGCTTGGTACCCCACTGGGTACCCCAGAAAAATAGGTGAAAAATATTGAGGAGGCTATGAAAGCCTTCGTGTCTTCTCTTCTTTTTAATTAGTTTCTTTAATTTAAATTTTCTTTCATTACATAAGTAATCTATTCTCCTTGGTGAAGACATGGCAAACACAAACAAGCAAATGTTTAAAATAAAAACACCCATATACCACGAGTTAATCTGGGACTATGCCCCTTCCAGATGTTTTTTAATCTTCTCTTTCTTTCTTTCTTCGTTCCCTTCTTTCTTTTTCTCTTTCTTTTCTTTTCTGAGACAGGGTCTTGTTCAGCTGCCCAGGTTGGAGTGCAGTGGCAAGATCATGGCTCACTGCAACCTTAACTTCCTGGCCTCAAGTAATCCTCTCACCTCAGCCTCCTAAGTTGGGAGGGACTACAGGCATGCACCACCATACCTGGCTAATTTTTTTATTTTTTGCAGAGGCAGGGTTCCCCCATGTTGCCAGACTGGTCTCAAACTCCTGGGCTTAAACGATTCCTTCTGCCTCAGCCTCCCAAAGTGCTGGGATTATAGGCATGAGCCACTGTGCCAGGCCCAAATGTTTTCTTAAAAATGCAGTGATGCTATTCATACCATTTGTCAACTAGATTTTCATACTTAACAATATATATTGTGGCCATCTGTCCTTGTTGGCAAGATAGTTCTGGATCACACTTGTTAAACACTATGATATTCTAGTTTATGGATGGTCAATAATACTTTTTTTTTTTTTTTTTTTTTGAGACAGAATCTAGCTCTGTCACCCAGGCTGGGGTGCAATGATGCGATCTTGGCTCACTGCAACCTCCATCTCCTGAGTTCAAGCAATTCTTCTGCCTCAGCCTCCCGAGTAGCTGGGATTACAAGCATGCACCACCATGCTTGGCTAATTTTGTATTTTTAGTAGAGATGGGGGTTTCACCATGTTGGTCAGACTGGTCTTGAACTCCTGACCTCAGGTGATCCACCTGCCTCGGCCTCCCAAAGTGCTGGGATTACAGGCGTGAGCCACCGTGCCTGGCCCTCTAATACGTTATTAATGAATCTCCTAAGGCTGGACAGTAAGGTTGTTTCTGATTTTTTTCTGTACTGAGGCATGTGCTGCAGAGCCGAGACAGGGTTGGACCTCTGTGCAGCTCTGCAGCTCCTGATTACTTTATTAAAGTCACAGCCTTGCAGGGGAATGTCTGGACCAGAAGCCACTCGCTTACGACTTGGACACATGTTTCCAGGTTGCTGTCCTGGAACTTCATACTGATTTACGCTCCTCTCAGTTTTCTTGAAGCTGACCAAGTCCTTTGCAAAGTGTCATGTGCAGGGAGGCAGAGGCCTTTCTAAGTCTGTCTGCCCTTCCATCCCTAGAAGAGAGAGGGCTTCTGCCAGCTACTGCAGCAGATGAAGAACAAGCACTCAGAGCAGCCGGAGCCCGACATGATCACCATCTTCATCGGCACCTGGAACATGGGTGGGTCTGCGTGCCCCCTCCCTGAAGTCGCCCCCACTGCTTCCGCCCTGACTCAGGCATCCTCAAGGTGGGGTGGAGTGACAACATCCATGTCCCCTTCCTTCCTGCCCCAGGGCCCTGTCCCCAACCCCCAGCCTACCCGCACAGCCTCCTTCCTAAGGAATTCCACCCTTTTCCTGAGATGATGGGTAAGAAGAATGAGCTTTGGGACTATTGTACCCCAACAGCAGCTGGGGTGGGTTACTCTGTGTGTCCAAACTGGAAAGTTGTAGGGAAAGAGTCTGAATATCTAGGTGAAGAGGCTCATGGGCACCCTGCCAGCTCTAGGCAGTTCACCAAGGGGCCCCAGGCCTGAAAGAAAGAAGTCCACCCTTGAGCAGGGTTGCCAGATTTCTCAGGAGAGAGACAGAAAGAGAGATAAGTAGGTAGGTAGACAAAGGATGCCCCGTTATATTTTCACTTCATAGAAACAAATTTTTTCAGTATATGTTTAGCTACAAACAAATACTGAACATAGATGCTAAATAGACATTATGCTGAATATATAGTGTATATACATATGCTAAATATATATAGTAGATAAACATATGCTAAATAAATGTAATTATTATATTAAATATAAATTATACTAAGTAATATTATTTAGTTTAAGCATACAGTTAATAATATACTAAATATACGCTAAATATATTTTGTATTAAACATATATACTGTATATTTATATACTAAACATATGCACGCTACTAAATATAAATAACACTAAATAACTTTTTAGTGTAAGTGTTCAGGTAGAGATAAATTAGATAGAAGACATCTAGATAAACTTATTCTAGAAACTACCGGTTTATGCGAAATTGGAATTTCACTGGGCGTCCCGTGTCCCTTACCCTTTGTCCCAAGAGGAGTCTGGGAGGAAGAGGGTGATCAGCGGCCGGCAGGGGCCTCTTGGAAGTGAAGTGGCAGCATGTCACTTGTGTCCCAGAGCCACAGCAGCCCTGGAATAGAGCTCCAGGATGTCCTTGACACAAAGGCAGGGGGTGCCCTTCCCACACAAGAGTGTGGAAGGAGCAAGCTGAGGCTATGCTGCAGGAGGGCCGAGACCCACCAGCCCGGGAGTTTGAGCACCCACTTTGAGCCACAGTCCATTTACTCCAATGCGTGGCTTCTCTGCACTTGTAAGGCAAGAAACTCATCTCTTTGAGGAACAAACATTGCTCATCCTTCAAGGGCACTGCAGGGAGAACCGTTCAAAATTTCTTGATTGAGCTGCTTCAACTCAGTTTTGAAATGGGAATGCAGAGGAGTTTCCATGCTCTCCCATTTCTCTGGCTCACACCCATGCATCTCTCCACTCTGGGCTGGGATCTGCCTTGCAAGGGAGCCTTTGTTGTCTCCCAACAATGGGTTAGAAGCCACCATCCAAAACTTGTCAGTCTCCTTGGCTGTCTTGAGAATAGGATGTGAGTTCCTTGAGAGACAGAACTCAATTATCGTAGCCTCAAAATGCAGGACAGCATCTGACATCAGGGGATCTTCTGATGTTTCTAGACCTTGAAACTTAACATTATGTTTAAAAAGAGGCTTAACTGAGCTCTAGCCCTCACCGACACCCTGGGTGAGGTTGGCGCCCAGGCCTCCATCGCAGGCATTTCTTTGGGCTGCCTGGATGGTCTTGTGTGACGATGTGACCTCCCTCACACTCCCACCCTCTGTTTTGAATTCTCCTAATGCTTTGACTCGATGTGCCTTTGACTCACTTGGTGTTGGGTTTTGCTGTTGAAGGTAACGCCCCCCCTCCCAAGAAGATCACGTCCTGGTTTCTCTCCAAGGGGCAGGGAAAGACACGGGACGACTCTGCCGACTACATCCCCCATGACATTTACGTGATCGGCACCCAGGAAGACCCCCTGAGTGAGAAGGAGTGGCTGGAGATCCTCAAACACTCCCTGCAAGAAATCACCAGCGTGACGTTTAAAACAGTGAGCAGCTGGTGGTGCCCCGGGTGGGGTTCCGGGACGGAAGCTTTGCGCAGCTGGGCTGTCTCAGAGGCAAGGGCAGGCTCAGCCTATCAGCTCTCAGTTTTCAAGGATGTCTGGGGGCCCCCACTGAGAGGTGCGTCTGTATTCAGAAATAAATGGCATCCGTGGGGTATTGCTGAAAACCACTGAGTCCTCCCCTTGGTCAGCCCCGGTTCTCATCTTTAGGATGCTTTGTCTCACCTATCACACATCGCTGGGAGTCCCCCGAAGGGTTGGGATTACAGACGGGGTGCCCCACACCCAGGGGCTGGGGCTGGGGCTGGGTGTGAATCACTGTGCCCTGGTTCACACCCTACACTTAAGGGCCGAGTATTGCAACGTTGTCCTCCCACCAGGTCGCCATCCACACGCTCTGGAACATCCGCATCGTGGTGCTGGCCAAGCCTGAGCACGAGAACCGGATCAGCCACATCTGTACTAACAACGTGAAGACAGGCATCGCAAACACACTGGGTGAGCGAGCAGGGCGGGGACCCTGTGTTCCTCCCACACCCTCTGCCTCAACTCACGCGACCATGCCATCCTGATCCCACCAGTAGTTCCAGAGTCTCACGTTCTCAGCTCCCTGCTCAGTCCTCAGCAAATAGGGGTGGTTGGTCTCCCTGGCTGAAACTCACTCAGGGTCTACACCAGCGCTCCCAGGGATCTAGCTAAAATGCAGGTTCTGACTCAGTAGATCTTGGATGGAACCCAGGGTTCCAAGTTTCTGACAGGTTCCCAGGTGACTTCAGCGCTGCTGGTCGGCCCATGGGACCCATTTTAGGTAGCGAGAACCTAGAACAGGGATTGGCCAACTTTTGCAGGAAAGGGAAGGGCCTGATAGTAAATATTTCAGACTTTGCAGGCCACTCAACACTACTCTCTGCCTTTCTGGTGGGAAAGCAGCCATAGTCAACCCAGAAAGTGAATGGGAGTGGCTGTGTTCCGGTGAGACCTTCCTTACCAGCACAGGTGGGAGGTGGCTGGCTCCCGCCCTCCGTCCCTGTACACCAGCTTGGATCCGGAAACGCTGGTGTCAGTGGAGAGTCTCTGGCTTCAGAGAGCAGTAGCAAGGGCAAGAACTCTTCATGAGTGTAGGGGTGCAAGCCTGTGTGTGTGAGTAGGTCTGTGTCTGTGAGTTTGTGTGAATGAGAGCGTGCATGTGAGTGTGTGAACCTGTGTAGGTATGTGAGAGTTTATGGATGTGTGTTTGTGAGCGTGTTTATGTGAGTCCATGTGTAAGCGTACCACCCCATATCTATGAGTGTGTGTCTATGTGTGTGTGAGTCCATGCGTGTGTGTTTGTGAGTGTGTTTATGAGAGGCTAGGTATGTGAGGGTGGGTGTCCGAGTGCATGTGCATAAGTGCTAGAGCCTCTCTGTGTGTGTATGTGTGTGTACGCGTGTGTGCACGTGGGGTGGGACACACACAGGGCCCCCAGGCTGGCATCAGGGGCGAGGCCAGTGGTTTTTGGTGGTTGGAGTCAGTGGAGTCAGGAACAGGACAGAGTCCTAGAGATAACAGGAAATGGGAGAATTGCTGCAATCGAACGTGCAAAGCTCTCTCAGCTTTTCTGCTGACAAACCGCAAACTGCCCATGTCCACCCCCGCTCGTCCCCCTTCCTTCCTGCCACAGTGGAAGGGTGGGGCTGGCGAGGCTGTCCTGGCTGCGCCCACGCCCTCCTGCTGCCCGGGAACCACCCGGGTGTGGATTCCATCGCTCCCTGGGCTTCCAGCCCCTCCCACCGGCCCCTGCCCCGCTGTGCAGAATATGCTGGGACCTCCTGGGGTCACATAAAACCACCCCCTCAGCCAGACCTTGCCTGCAACTCCCGCCCCAGTTCCTGGTCATGCTGGCCTCGGGGCTGGGCACTGGGTCAGCTTCTGAGCAGGCAGGAGCTCTGCTCATGTGGACCTGACACACACTGCGTGAGCAGATAGGAGGGAAAGAAGCCAGTTCCGGGGAGGGAGCGTGCTGGCCAAGGAGTGTGTGGCGTGGGCAGAGGGCAGAGGTCAGGGACCTCCCTAAGAAGGGCAGTGCGACTGGCATCTGAGGGGTGGGGAGAAAGGCCTGGCCAGAGTCCCAGCTTTATGACCATTGCAGGGCAGCTTCTGGGCTGTGGAGCTCACACACACCTTCCCCACCTTCCCCTCCTTCCCCTCCTCTCTGCCCTGGGGCCAGCCTCCCTCCTCCACTCCCCTGAAATGGCTCCCCGCCATAATTAGCACAGGACAGGAACAGCAAATGCTGGTCGGCTGATAAAACATTAGTCCTGGCTGGTGCAGTGGCTCACGCCTGTAATCCCAGCACTTTGGGAGGCCGAGGCAGGTGGATCACTTGAGGTCAGGAGTTTGAGACCAGCCTGGCCAACATGGTGAAATCTCATCTCTACTAAAAATACAAAAATTAGCGGGATGTGGTGGCATGCACCTGTAATCCCAGCTGCCTGGGAGGCTGAGGCAGGAGAATCACTTGAACCCGGGAGGCGGAGGTTGCAGTGAGCTGAGATTGTGAAACTGCACTCCAGCCTGAGTGACAGAGTGAGATGCCATCTCCAAAAAAAAAAAAAAAAAATCAGTCCTTAGAACAACCAAGGCCTCTCTAAGAGTGTGTCCTAAGCAAGGCTGTGCGCTAAATGCTTTGTATCATCTCATTTAATATAAATACCCTGCTAGTCACGATGGCTCATACCTGTAATCCCAGCAATTTGGGAGGCCAAGGTGGGAGGATCTCCTGAGACCAGAAGTTTGAGACCAGCCTGGGCAATATAGGAAGATACCATCTCTCCAAAAAAAAAAAAGAAAAAGACTGGGCATGGTAGTGCATGCCTGTGGGCCCAGCTACTCAGGAGGCTGAGGTGGGAGGATCACCTAAGTCTGGGAGGTCAAGGCTATAGTAAGCAACGATTTTGCCACTGCACTCCAGCCTGGGTGACACAGACTTTGTCTCAAATTTAAAAACAAAACAAAACAAAAAAACACTCGGGCAGAGACTCTCATTATTATTCCCATTTGCAGATGAAGAAACAGAGTCTATGGAGATGATCCATAACTTGCCCAAGGCCCAGGGATAAGAAAGTGGTGGGCAGGGATTGAAACCAGGCTGTCGGGACTGGAACCAGTTGCTCAGTTCCAGGTCACCCTCTGGGAAGGAAAGAAGTGGCCTCCCAGTTTGGGGGCAGAGGGGCAGGGCTGGAGAGCTAGGTGCGGTGGAGAGGGCTGGAGGGCAGAAAGCCTGTGTGCTCCCCCACTGGGTCCTGAGGATGCTCAGCCAGGTGATATCCAGGGGTCCCTTCAGCCTATGGCCTATCCAGAGCTGTCCAACCAAAAGAAAATGGGGCCGGGTGCGGTGGCTCACACCTGTAGTCTTAGCACTTTGGGAGGCGGAGGCAGGCATATTGCCGGAGCTCAGGAGTTTGAGACCAACCTGGGCAACACAGTGGAACCCCGTCTCTACTAAAATACAAAAAATTAGCTGCGTGTGGTGGTGGGTGCCTGTAGTCCCAGCTGTCAGGAGGATGAGACAGGAGAATTGCTTGAACCCGGGAGACGAAGGTTGCAGTGAGCAGAAATTGTGCCGCTGCACTCCAGCCTGGGGGACAGAGTGAGATTCCGTCTCCAAAAAAACAAAAAAGAAAAGAAAATGGGAGCCAAATAGATCATAAATAAATAGATTTATGATCAAAATAGATTACAATTTGATCTATTATAATCAATAGATCAAATTTTCAAGTAGCCACATTAAAAAGGAAACAAGAGGAATTAATTTCAATAATAGATTTTTTTGAACTTCATACATCCAAAATACAATTATTTCAATAGATATTCAATGTAAAAAGTGATTTGCTATTTTACAGTCTGCGTTTCTTACCAAGGCCACAATTCTGATGTGTATTTTACACTCACAACCCGTCTCATTTTGTACCAGCCACATTTCAGGTGTTTGATAGTCACACGTGGCCTGTGCCTGTATTGGACAGAGCAGGTTCTCAGCTGCGTGTGTCAGGATCACCCAGAGCAGGGGTTGACAAACGTTTTCCGCAGAAGGCCAGATGGTGAATATTCTAGGCTCTGTGGACCACACAACTGTCTCAACGCTTCAGCTCTGCCATCGTAGTCTGAAAGCAGCTACAGACAATCCAGAAGTGAATAGGCATGGCTGTGTTCCAGTAACATGTTCTTTATGAACACTGAAATTTGAATTTCATATTTTCATGAATCACAAAAAGATTGTTTTTCTTTTGATTTGTTTCCAACCATTTACAAACGTAAAACCATTTGTAGCTGGCAGTGAGCCAGCATTTGCCCACCGATGACCCTGGAGGGCTTGTCAAACACAGATTACTGGGCCCCATCCCAGGATTTCCGATTCAGTAGGTCTGGGGCGGGGCTGAGAATCTGTCCTTCTGACAAGTTCCCAGGTGGCGTTCAGCTGCTGGTCCAGGTTTCCCTTTGGGAACCACTGACCTAGAACAGATCAGAACGTTGGCAGAAAAAGGTGTGATCTCAGTGTGGGCTTTTGGTCTATCCAGGAACCTTGAATTCGCTGGGAGGGAGATCAGCCCACCCGAGCTAGAACCTTCTGAATCTTCCCAGGGCTTCTGGCTGCCGCTTAGCACCCTGGTCACTTCAGAGAGAGATGCCGGGGGAGGATCACAGCAGCCGCCTTCCTCTGCCCCCCTGAGAAGCCCAAGGCTGCCGCCATCTGCGCTGCTCCTGCATTTTCTCATCTCCCGCTCTCTGCCCAGTGGCTCCCACCCCACACGACCCCGTTTTGCCCTCCCCTTGCCAGCTCCTCACTCACCTGCCCCTCTCACCCTGCCTCCGGGTGATTTCTGGCCCCTTGGCAGTGTGTCTGTTTGATGTTTTGATTCTTCTTTGTGCTCTTCGTTGTAGGGAACAAGGGAGCCGTGGGGGTGTCGTTCATGTTCAATGGAACCTCCTTAGGGTTCGTCAACAGCCACTTGACTTCAGGAAGTGAAAAGAAACTCAGGTAATGGAACTCCTTCCCCCCAAGAGTGTGCATTTGGGTTATCTGCCCAGACACACCTCACTCCTCTAAGCACCAGAAGGACCTGCTCAGCTCTTGCCTTTGACCTTGTGGGTGTCCTGTGGCCTTTCAGGGCCCACCACAGTCTCATTAAAGCCAACTGCAGCACACTAGTGACCTCATGTGTGGAGGAATTTTGTCTGAAGGTCAGAAAAGATATTTCCTTGTGTCATTAGCCTGATGGACCCCCGACTAGCACTGTTTCTAAAGCAGTAAGTTTCCTCTGGGGCCTCCTTACAAATCCAAGCTGATCTTGCCTAGCTGGGACCCAGGAATGAAGACAGCCATCTAGAATCCTCACTGTTCTGATTCTCTGCTGTGCAGATGCTGTTACTCCTGGGCCCCTGCCCTCTGTGCATCCAGTGTGGCCTCAAATGCCCTTTGCATCCTGGCTGTGGCGTATTTGCACGCTAAGGTGGTCTGCCGCAGCAGGGCTGGAGGGCTAAGTCTCCCTTCCCCCCACCTGCTATGCTCCTCGCCCCCCACCTATGGCAGGAGTGACTTCCTGCCACAGTGGAGGGGGAACCAGTGACCCCGTGCTAGATGGCCGCTTTTTCCTTGCATTAGGCGAAACCAAAACTATATGAGCATTCTCCGGTTCCTGGCCCTGGGCGACAAGAAGCTGAGTCCCTTTAACATCACTCACCGCTTCACGCACCTCTTCTGGTTTGGGGATCTTAACTACCGTGTGGATCTGCCTACCTGGGTAAGGGGCTGCCTGCCTGGGGCTGGGGCTGCAGGAGATGGAGGCTCCCTTGAGTCAGCTTGGGGCAGGTGGTCATGGAGACACGTGAGCTAAGCGGGCTGAGGTGGCGGCTCCCCTTGGGGGCTCAATGCTGTTTCCGTTACTGAGCCTCAGCTGCTCCTCACGGTTCCCCTGTGCTCATGCCCGGTTCCCATAACTGTCACGGCCACCCTGCCACCATCACTCTGCAGCCTGTGTCATCCAGCTGCCCGCCCCCAGCCCCGAAGCTTGCCAGGCCTGGATCAGCAGGGCTTCTCACCAGAGGCCCGGGCATGTTCTTGTTCCAGGAGGCAGAAACCATCATCCAGAAAATCAAGCAGCAGCAGTACGCAGACCTCCTGTCCCACGACCAGCTGCTCACGGAGAGGAGAGAGCAGAAGGTCTTCCTGCACTTCGGTAAGAGCAGCGCCCTCTCGGGCACGGTGGCTCACGCCTGTCATCCCAGCACTTTGGGAGGCCAAGGCGGGTGGATCGCGAGGTCAGAAGATCGAGACCATCCTGGCTAACATGGTGAAAACCCGCCTCTACTAAAAAACGTACAAAAAATTAGCCGGGCGTGGTGGCAGGCGCCTGTAGTCCCAGCTGAGGCAGGAGAATGGCGTGAACCTGGGAGGTGGAGGTTGCAGTGAGCTGAGATCGCGCCACTGCAACCAGCCTGGGTGACAAAGCGAGACTCCGTCTCAAAAAAAAAAAAAAAAAAGCAGCAGCCTCTCCTCTTGGAGCCTTTCCAGCCATCCTTTCGTCCCCTTTCCCCCGATTTCCTACCAGGAGAATAGGGAAAATTGGGCAGATGCAAAACCTGGGGAATCAGAATTGAACCCGAAGTCTCTCTGTTTCAGAGGAGGAAGAAATCACGTTTGCCCCGACCTACCGTTTTGAAAGACTGACTCGGGACAAATACGCCTACACCAAGCAGAAAGCGACAGGGGTGAGTCCTCTTCACAGACACCTCCCCTGCCCTCCCTCTCCTCCCCGCTCGTGTCTGTTTCCAAAAGGCGAACAGAGAGCATCTTCATCCATTAGGCAAAAAAAAAAAAAAAAAAAGGAAAGAAAAAAATTAGAAAGCACATGTTGATTTGTGTCACAGAGTAAGTGGGCAGCCACAATTGTGCACTGCTTTGAGCTGGGAAAATAACCCTTGTGATTTATCTTCTGTCCAGGTACTCTAAGATGCTGAGAGGATTTTAAAGTATTATTTCCTTAACTGGGTTCTGAAGATCATTTTTTTAAAAAGTCCCATGATCATATATATTTGCTAAACTGCTGAGTAAATTAACATTAAGCCGGTTTCTTTGCTGCAGGACTTATCAGAGCCTTTATGGGCCTAAGAGCATTGTGGTTCTCCATGAGGAAATCTGTATGCCAAACTCAGTTATTCATGGAATACCAACTAATATCTTATTAGGCCACTTGTTTTCCAAGGAACAGTGTTTGGGGAAAGACGCATAAAATATGTATTCATTTGTTCAAAGGTATTTCCTGATGGACTATTATGGGTTAGGCACTCTCCTAGGTGGTGGGAGAGCAAAGATGTCTGCTCCAGGGACTTCACGGTAGGAAAAACAAGACGAATATGCAATTAGCTGTAGCCAGAGCCAGAATATGACAATGCCAGGGCAGGGAAGGATCAGGGAAGCCAGCCGCTGGCAGGGTTCAAGGGTTGAACGGCTGGGGCAGTGAAGTACCCAGGCCTGCTAGAAGCCTAGGGCAATGGAGCACAAGCTCAAAGTGTCATCTGAAAGAGTTCTGGGCCCCATCTGGGCTCAGGGGCAAGTGAAGAACTGGACGTGGGAGAGGAAGGCCAAGAGCTGGGTGAATTTCAGAACTGAGCAGGAGAGGAAGAGAATAAAACAGAGAGGACAGGAGAAGATCCCGGACTGCTGTCACCCACGAGACTGGGACCCCCAGGATGGGACACCCTCTTCCGCAGGGTCCACTGCCTGCTGTGTGGATAAGATCACCTGGCCCAAAGGCACTGTCAGAGCAGGTTCATGGGGACCCCTGTGCAGGCTGGTGAAGGATGGTTTGGCTTGACGTGGGTTTAAGTAGAGGCAGATGGGGGCCTGAGATGGGAGAGCGGCCAGTCCTAGATGCCAGGATGACAGGCCACAGGGGGCCACTGCAAGCTCTGCCGGGCACTGGTGCATCAGACTGGCATGTGCAGGATTGTAGTGGGCATTGTGGTAAAGGATGAGGATGCGGCAGGGGCACCGGTGAGGAGGCCATTGTGCACGTTTAGCTGAGCAACAGCCAGGGCCGAATCAGGGAAAACACAGTGAAAATGAAAGAAAGGGAGAAAGCAGGATATATTGGGAGACCTGATTGCCATTGATAAAAACTGGAAAATCACAAGGCGGAGCTGGCTTGAAGGGGAAAAACATAGAGCTTGTTTTCAGACTTATTGATTTGTGTGACATTAGTGGAAGAACTCAGAGAAAATATCCAGAAGGCAGCCGAAGATAGTGACGCATTGCTTAACAACGGGGATATGTTCCGAGAAGCGTGTCATCAGGTGACTTTGTCATTGTGGGAACCTCATGGAGTGTATATACACAAAGCCCACTTCAGTTAGATGGTGTGGCCTATTGATCCTAGGTGACAAAGCTGTATAGCATGTTACTTTACTGAATACTGTGGGCAGTTGTAACACAATGATAAGCTTTTGCGTATCTAAACATTAAACAGGTACAGTAAAAATGTGATATAAAAAGAAAAAAATGGGCTGGGTGCCGTGGCTCATGCCTATAATCCCAGCACTTTGGGAAGCCGAGGTGGGTGGATCACTCGAGGTTAGGAGTTCAAGGCCAGCCTGGCCAACACGGTGAAACCTTGTCTCTACTAAAAATACAGAAATTAGCCATGCATGGTGGTACACGCCTGTAACCCCAGCTACTCAGGAGGCTGAGGCAAGAGAATCGCTTGAACCCAGGAGATGGAAGTTGCAGTGAGCCAAGATCGCGCCTTGCACTCCAACCTGGGTGTCAGAGCAAGACTCTGTCTCAAAAAAAAAAGATGGTACATTGTATAGGGCACTTACCATGAATGAAGCTTGCAGGACTGGAAGTTGTTCTGGGTGAGTCAGCGAGTGAGTGGTGAATGAGTGCAAAGGCCTAGGACATGACTGTGCACTACTGTCGACTTTACAAACACTGTACACTTAGGCTACCCCACATTTATTTTTTAAATTTTCTTTTTTCAATAATAAGCTAACCTTAGCTTACTGTAACTTTTTTATTTACAAGCTTTTTATTTATAAACAATTTAATTTTGACGCTTTTGTAACAAAATGCAGCTTAAAATGCGAACACATTGTGCAGCTGTACAGAAGTATTTTCTTTCTTTATATTCTTAATCTACAAGTTTTTTTCTAGTTTTAAAATTTCAAAACTCTCATTTACATTGAATTTTTTGTTGAAAATTACGATGTAGGTCAGGCACTGTGGCTTATGCCTGTAATCCCAGCATTTTGAGAGGCTGAGGCAGGCAAGTCACCTGAGGTCAAGAGTTCGAGACCAGCCTGGCCAACATGGCAAAACTCTGTCTCTACTAAAAATACAAAAATTAGCCAGGCATGGTGGCATGCACATGTAATCCCAGCTACTTGGGAGGCTGAGACAGGAGAATTGCTTGAACCCAGGAAGCAGAGGTTGCAGCGAACCAAGATCGTGCCACCGCACTCCAGCCTGGAGCAAGACTCCGTCTCAAAAAAAAGTAAATGCACACATTAGCCTAGGCTGATACAGGCTCAGGATGGTCAATGACATTATCTCCCACCTCCACATCTCATCCCACTGGAAGGTCCTCAGGGGCAATAACATGGAGCTGTCATCTCCTATGATGACAGTGCCTTTCTTCTGGTTACCTCCTGAAGGACCTGCCTGAGGCTATTTTATAGGTAACATTTTCTTTTCTTTTTTCTTTTTTTTTTTTTTTTTGAGATGGGGTCCTGCTCTGTTGCCAGGCTGGAGTGCAGTGGCACAATCTCGGCTCACTACAACCTCCGCCTCCCAGGTTCAAGCGATTCTACTGCCTCAGTCTCCCAAGTAGCTGGGATTACAGGCGCCCACCACGGTGCCCGGCTAATTTTTTGTATTTTAGTAGAGATGTGGTTTCACCATGTTGTCCAGGATGGTCTCGATCTCCTGACCTCGTGATCCGCCCACCTCAGCCTCCCAAAGTGCAGGGATTACAGGCGTGAGCCACCACACCCGGCCTCTACATTTTCTTATAAGTAGGAATACACTCTAATTATAAATAATATAGTAAACACGGAAATGAGTGACAGTTACTTATCATTATTATCAAATATTATGTACTGAACAGAATTGTACTGTTGTGCTTTTACACAACTGGCAGTGCCGTGGGTTGGTTTGCACCAGCATCCCCACAAGCTCGTGAGTAATGTGTTGCGCTGTGACATGATGACAGCTACAGCATCACTAGGTGATGGGGATTTTCCAGCTCCATTATACTTTTGTAGGACCTCTGTCCTATATGCAGTCCATTATTGTGGTACATGACTATTTGTGGAGCCCCACGGGTAATTCTCAGGGGCAGCCAATGCAGAGAACTGCAACGTTAAGAAGCAACTGTTTAGGCTGGGCATGGTGGCTCACGCCTGTAATCCCAACACTTTGGGAACTGAGGCAGGTAAATCATTTGAGGTCAGGAGTTCAAGACCAGCCTGGCCAATATGGTGAAACCCCATCTCTACTGAAAATACAAAAATTAGCTGGGCGCGGTGGCACAATCCTGTGATCCCAGCTACTCAGAAGGCGGAGTCAGGAGAATTGTTTGAATCCGGCAGACAGAGGTTGCAGTGAGCTGAAATAGCCCCACTGCACTCCAGCCTGGGCAACAGAGTGAGACCCTGTCAGAAAAAAAAGAAAAAAAAAAGTAACTGTTTGGCAGAATTGATAAAAACTAAAAATGCACCTATTCTATATTTCAGTAATTCCACTTTGGTGTGTGCTCAAGAGAAATTAGTATATTTGTTCACTAAAACTAGGTGTAAGAATGTTTGGCCAGGCGTAGTAGCTCGTGCTTATAATGCCAGAGCTTTGGGAGGCCAAGGCAGGTGAATCACCTGAGGTCAGGAGTTCGAGACCATTCTGGCCAACATGGCGAAAACCATCTCTACTAAAATACAAAAATTAGCTGGGAGTGCTGGTGTGTGCCTGTAATCCCAGCTACTCAGGAGGCTGAGGCACGAGAACCACTGGAACCCGGAAGGCGGAGATTGCAGTGAGCCAAGACCATGCCACTGCACTCCAACCTCAGCAACAGAGTGAGACTCCATGTCAAAAAAATAAAAATAAAAAAATAAAAAGAGTGTTTATGGCAGCTTTGTTTATAATCTTCAACCCTATGTCCATTAACAATAGAGTAGATAAATGTGATACTTATAGACAATGGAACTTTTATAAGCAACAAAGTGACTGAAGGAGTCCAACATGAAAGAGTATTTACCGAGCGAGTCCATTTATGTACGTTCATATAAATTAATCAATGGAGATGTTAGTCGCACTAATGCTCACCTTTAGGAGGCTGTGGTATTGACAAGGAGGGCATATGAGGGAACCTTTAGGATGATGAGGGTTTTCTATATCTTGCTCTGGGTAGTTGGTAAGTGGGTATAAGCAAACATAAAAATTCATGGGACTGTATGTACACTTATGGTTAGTACACTTTATGTAAGTTGTACCTAAAGTTTTTTCAAAAAGCAAATGGTTCAGAAGTAGAGATAATGAAAATAAAACCTTCTTTTTTTTTTTTTTTTTGAGGCAGAGTTTTGCTCTTATTGCCCAGGTTGGAGTGCAGTAGCACAATCTCCGCTCACTGCAACCTCTGCCTTCCGGGTTCAAATGATTATCCTGCCCCAGCCTCCTGAGTAGCTGGGATTACAGGCATGTGCCACCACGCCCAGCTAATTTTGTATTTTTAGTAGAGACAGGGTTTTACCATGTTGGTCAGGCTGGTCTTGAACTCCCGACCTCAGGTGATCCACCTGCCTTGGCCTCCCAAAGTGCTGGGATTACAGGTGTGAGCCACCATGCCTGGCCTGAAAATAGAACTTTCAAATAAAATTTGAAAGAAAATTGGTAAAAGGAAGAAAAGAGAAAAGTAATTGAAGGAGGTGACAGAGGTAGGCGCTTTCAGGATGAGTTCCTTTATGTTTGTAGACAGAGAAGAAAGAGCTAGAACGTGAGGGGATAAGGATATTGATAAAAGAGGGTTGTTATTGCCAGTTTACCTTGTCTATCCCACCCAATGGACATCTTACTCATCATTGCAGCCTGAGGCCCTGGAGAGGGCTTGTCACATAGTATTAATAGATACTGTTTGAGTGACTGGACAAGTAGGTAGATGGGTGTGTGAATGGGCCAATGGATGAGTGGATGGGTGCAATGGATGGATGGATGAATGGATGGATGGATGGATAGATGGATGGATGGATGGATGGATGGATGGATGGATGGATATAGGCAAATGGGTAGGTGGGTGGGTGGAAGGATGGATGGATGGATGGATGAATAAATGGATGGAAAGGTAGATGGGTGGATGGATGGATGGATGGATGAATAAATGGATGGAAAGGTAGATGGGTGGATGGATGGATGGATAGATCGGTGGGTGGATGGATGGATGGATGGATGAATAAATGGATGGAAAGGTAGATGGGTGGATGGATGGATGGATAGATCGGTGGGTGGATGGATGGATGGGTGGGTGGTGGATGGATGGATAGGTGGGTGGATGGATGGATGGATGGATGGATGGATGGATGGATGAATAGATGGGATGGATGGATGAATAGGCAAATGGGTAGGTGGGTGGGTGGAAGGATGGATGGATGGATGGATGAATAAATGGATGGAAAGGTAGATGGGTGGATGGATGGATGGATAGATCGGTGGGTGGATGGATGGATGGGTGGGTGGATGGATAAATGAATGAATAGGTGGATGGGTGGATGGATAAATGGACAGGTTGTTGGAATGGATGGGTGGATGGGTGGATGGATGAATTAATAGATGGGTAGGTGGATGGATGGATGGGTAAATGAGTAAAGATGGGTAGATGAGATGAAGAGGTGGATAGGTGGATGACGGGAAGTGGGAGTGGAAGCTGGAGTGTGTTATTAAAGTAAGTGGCTGCAGAAAGTGAGTAGAGACTGAGTTGAAAATACAGGCCGGGCGCGGTGGCTCAAGCCTGTAATCCCAGCACTTTGGGAGGCCGAGACAGGTGGATCACGAGGTCAGGAGATCGAGACCATCCTGGCTAACACGGCGAAACCCCGTCTCTACTAAAAAATACAAAAAACTAGCCGGGCGAGGTGGCAGGCGCCTGTAGCCCCAGCTACTCGGGAGGCTGAGGCAGGAGAATGGCGTAAACCCGGGAGGCAGAGCTTGCAGTGAGCTGAGATCACGCCACTGCACTTCAGCCTGGGCAACAGAGCGAGACTCCGTCTCAAAAAAAAAAAAAAAGAAAGAAAGAAAAAAAGAAAATACAGGTCGGGGTTCCTCTGAATCAGAAAGAAAGAGAAGGTGAAGATACAAGGGGTACTGAAGTAGTCAGGAGGATGGGTGAGGGAACACAGGAGGTGAATTATCTTATTCTAAAGAAGAAGGCCAGGATATCTGAAAGTGTGGAGCGTGGCAGTGGAATCTGGACTTGAGCCATGTGAAAATAGTTTAGAGCCACCTACGGGGAAATTCTATAAAAAGCCAACAGCCGATTAATTTGAGGATTACAGAGGCCACCAGTTAGTCTTTTCTTCTACTGATTGAAACATAATAAGAGGCATTTTACAAAGCCTGTGACTTTGATTTGCAGATGAAGTACAACTTGCCTTCCTGGTGCGACCGAGTCCTCTGGAAGTCTTATCCCCTGGTGCACGTGGTGTGTCAGTCTTATGGTGAGTCCAAACATTGGGGAAAGCAGACCAGGATCAGAGAGGGCAGTTTAGGGCAGTTGCTGGGAGGTGCAACTGCCCTAAAATCTAAGGGCTTCAATCTGTTGATGTGTCAAAGGGAGGAATTCACTGTAACCCTAATCAGGCAACCTGGAAATGTTGATGCTTCCCCGCCTGTCTTGGGCTGTCACCTAATCAATATCCCCTGCTTTGGGAGACGTTTGAGTTATGGAGCACTTTTTTTCTTTTTTAGATAAAGTCTCGTTCTATCACCCAGGCTGGAGTACAATGGCGTGATCTCATCTGACCACAACCTCCGCCTCCTGGGTTCAAGCGATTCTCGTGCCTCAGCCTCCCCAAGCAGCTCCCACCACCATGCCTGGCTAATTTTTGTATTTTTGTATTTTTAGTAGATACGGATTTTGCCATGTTGGCCAGGCTGGTTGCGAACTCCTGACCTCAGGTGATCAGCCCGCCTCAACCTCCCAAAGTGCTGAGATTACAGGTGTGAGCCACTGCGGCCGACCTGGAGCACTTTTTTAAAAATTCAATTTTATTTCTTTTGAAAAGAACGTATTAAGTTTGAACCATATGAAAATGTTTTTGTAGGTCAGAAATAGTCAGTTATTGGAAATTCATATGGCACAAGTATATACATATATATATTTGGGGAAGTTTAACAATAAATTGAGTTAAATTGATTTTTAAAAGGCATAATATGTAATATTAAAATAAATAATTATGGAATAAATTATAAAAACAATTAAGAAATAACTGTTAGCCAGGCACTGTGCCACACACCTATAGTCTCAGCTACTCAAGAGGCTGAGGTGGGAGGATCGCTTGAGCCCAGTAGTTCAAAACCAGCTTGGGCAACATAGACCCTACCTCTGAAAAAAATGAAAGAAAAAAATGACTCTTAACTCTTGACCCTCAAAGGTGCACTGAAGGAGTTCTTAATTGCCTGAATGCTTATTCTGAAAAGCTACTGATTAGTTCCCATTACTTACAAAGCGAGACCTTAGAAATCCACAGAACAGAGTTGCTTTGAACACTTCACTGACTGAGAATTGTGGTATTATTTTTATTTATTTATTGAGCTGGAGTCTCTCTCAGTCGCCCAGGCCAGAGTGCAGTGGCTAAATCTCGGCTCCCTGCAACCTTTGCCTCCTGGGTTCAAGTGATTCTCCTGCCTCAGACTCCCAAGTAGCCGAGATATCAGGCACGCAGCATCATGCCTGGCTAATTTTTGTATTTTTAGTAGAGATGGGGTTACACCATGTTGGTCAGGCTGGTCTCAAACTCCTGACTTCAAGTGATCCACCCGCCTCAGCCTCCCCAGGTGCTGGGATTACAGGACTGAGCCACTGCACCAGGCCCAGTGGTATTATTTTTAAAACACTGCAAATTCTCAATGTCCCTAAAGGAGAGCCACCCTGGTCCTTGGAGCGAGGAGAGGGGCAGGGGAATCCTGCTGCTGCCCAGTGGCCACCTTCGTGGCTCCCACCTTCTCTGGGGACTGGCAAATTTGGTCTCACAAATTTAACTCTGGTCCTATACGTTGAACTGACATCCATTCCTGTGCATGTCTCCTCCTGCTGCCCAGAAGAGCCCAGAGCAGCCACCCTGAAATAGTTTAACACACGCTCCCTGCATTCCTTGCTGAAGGAATGAGCTCTGTCTCCCAGAAGTGACGTCACTAGACGAACTTCACACAACACCTTTAGATGTGTGGGAAGGCAACCTGCCCTCACAGTGATGGCCGGGGCATTGTTACAGCTTCCAAAGCTCAAAGTGACCGAGTCCTACCCTCTGCCTGCAGCCTCCTCACTTGTGCATTCCCTCCCCCGCACCCCTCGGACTCTCCAGGCCTGTCACTCCTTCCCAGCCACACGCAGGGTCACCCCTGTCAATACTGTCCTTCCCACATCCTGCAGCTCCACGCGTCCTGCCAATTCTTATCTCAACCATCTGCCTGCTTCAGCCAGCCTCTGCCAAGTCAGGAGATAGTGGAGACTTGTAGAATTACCACTTACTGTTTTGCACCTAAACTTGGCATTCAAAACTGCTCGACAGTGGAGGCTTTAGAGAAAGAGGGAGATCAGTCCGGAAGTGGCAATGAGGAGCGGGAAGGACACCCTTTGTCCCCACCTCTGGGCCCGGAATATGAGGGCTGGGGAGCAAAACAAGCCTCACCAGAGAGGCAGCAGTGTCTTCCGGGGGAGGGCCGGGTTTGGGGGGTGATGGGAAGATTAAAGATACAGGGAATTTTGCTAATGATATTTCATGGAGTGCCAGAGGGCTCAGTGGAAATGTTTAATGAGTTGGGGTTGAGGGAAGGCAAGAAGTTGGAAAAGAAAAGTGAGTGGATGTTCAGAGCTCAGTAAACGGGGGTGACCTGGGAGCCTTAGTCTTCTCATGGCAATTAATGTAGCCAGGGGTTACATTACATTACAATGTAATTACAATGTAATCAGCTGTCTACTGCTTATCAAACTTCTGACAAAGGAGGAGGAAGAGGCAGAACAGGTCACTTGCCTTCCAAGATGGCAGGACTTACTCCAAAGACACAGTAGTTAAAAACAGTGTAACATTAACCAGGGATGGAAAAATTAAAGATAAGAACAAGAGAGACCCATGCATATATAGACCACAAACTGTCCTAAAACTCACTGACTTAAAGCAAACAATTATTTGCTTGCGAGTGTCTGGGCTAGGCTGAATTTGGACTGCTCACCTCTGCTCTAGTTGGTGTCATCTGGGCACACTCAGGGAGGAGCCCATCAGATCTGGGGTGGGCTGGCTGTCAGCAGGCATAGGGGTGATACTCACCATCCAGCAGGCCAGTGCAGGCTGCTTTGCTTCCTGGTCTCAGGGTTCCCAGCTGCAAGTCTCACCAATGGAAATTCTTCTTAAGGCTTTGTTGGCCTCAGGTTTACTAAGGTCCCATTGGCCAAAGAAAGTCACATGGCCAAGCCCAGACTCATGGTGGGAGGGGACCACAGAGAGTGTGGTTACTGGGAGGAGGACTGGTTTTTTGAGGGTCACCCATCTTACAGTCCACCTCCGAGCTTAAGTGCACACTGTAGTGCCATTGCTATTACATTCAGTACATATCTGAAATATTCTGAGAATACTTAAAAAAAAAAATCTTGCTTGTCAACCCATTAAATTCTCCCTGGAACACCCCTCCTCCACTACCACTGCAAACCTGTACCCCAGTGCTCAGCCTGACTCCCCACCTCCATCCCTCCATCCTCCTGCCTCACATAGCACTGGACCTCACTAATTTCTTCCCGCTCATGTCCAGTTTTTTGTTTTTGTTTTGTTTTGTTTTTTTGAGACACTCTTGTTCTTTCTTCCAGGCTGGAGAGCAGTGGCACCATCTTGGCTCACTGCAATGTCAGCCTCCCAGGTTCAAGTGATTCTCCGCCTCAGCCTCCCAAGTAGCTGGGATTACAGGTGCGCGCCACCACGCCAGGCTAATTTTTGTATTTTTAGTAGAGACAGTGTTTTGCCATGTTGGCCAGGCTGGTCTTGAGCACCTGGCCTCAAGTGATCCGCCCACCTCAGCCTCCCAAAGTGCTGGGATCACAGGCGTGAGCCACCACGCTCTGCCTCGTGTCCAGATTTTAGGCTGATGTCCTCGCATCTTCCTCCCTCCTCTCTCAGAGAAGGGGTAGCCTCCTCTTTCTTTCCTGCCTAGCCTTTGCCCCTAGACCCTTGACTCCATCTTTTCCTCCTCTACTACCAACCAGTGCCCCCACTCCCCTCCTTCTCTCCTGTCCCTTTCTCTGTTCTGTCTTGTAGTTTCCATGTGTTTCTCTGGTGATCCTTAGTAAGTGAGCTTTTTTCTTTTCATGTTTATTAGCCATTTATATTTTTTGGTGAATTTTCTGTCCATATCCTTTGGTTGGTTGAGCGGTGGAGTGTTTATCTTTTTCTTGCTGATTTGTAAACGCTTTCTAGAAAAGGGTACCAAGTCTGTTTTATCACCTTCTTGGTCTCCTTTGCTGGCAGTTTTTCCTTTGCCCGCCTATTCACATTTGGCGTGCCTTGGAATTCTGTCCTCATCTCTTCTCATCTTTCATGTGAAAGCCCAAACACACTAATGTCTTCCGCTTCCACTTAATCGCAAGACTCCACATCCAAAGACATATCTCCAGCCTTGAGTGCCCACTTCCTGCCAGGCATCTCCAACGGGCTATCTTGAAAGAACTGTCTTTCTAGAACTGTCCTCTTTCTCTTGCCCCCTCCCAAAGTGCTCTGTTGCCTCCCTTCTCACCCCAGTGCCAAGCTCCTTAACAGAGTTTTCTACACTTGGCATCATCCGCTCTCTCCTGGTTCTACAAGGCATCGTGGGATGGAGAAGGTGTCCCGTCTCTCCCACTGATGAGCTGAGTGGCCTTCAGTCCCCTTCCCACGCCGTGTTTGGGGCTCTTCATCAATAAAATAAAGTGAGCCAGGCGCGGTGGCTCGTGTCTGTAATCCCAGCACTTGGGAGGCTGAGGCGGGTGGATCACCTGAGGTCAGGAGTTCAAGACCAGCCTGGCCAACATGTCGAAACCTCATCTCTACAAAAAACACAAAGATTGGCTGGGCGTGATGGCACACACCTGTAATCCCAGCTACTCGGGTGGCTGAGGCATGAGAATTGCTTGAGCCTGGGAGGTGGAGGTTGCAGTGAGCCGAGATCGCGCCACTGCACTCCAGCCTGGGCAACAGAGCGAGACTCTGTCTCAAAAATAAATAAATAAATAAATAATATGATTAGACCAGAAAAATCTCCATGGTTCACACTCCCTAATCAATTCAAAAAGTCATAGGTCTTTAGGAACAACGAGCACAGGCTTCTTTTATCCATGGAGGAGGCAGTGTCCACACTGTCTTCCACTGAACCCTTTAAGGATTTCAGTGGAAGGACAACAGGACAGCAGGTGTAAAACCTTCGCACTTCTGGAGGGCTCCATAACTAAAGTTTCTGCTTTAGGGTTGCCATCCTTGGCCTGACCAGAAGGGCTTCTCCTTCCCTGCTGAAAAATGCCTTCCCTCCCCTGCAGGCAGTACCAGCGACATCATGACCAGTGACCACAGCCCTGTCTTTGCCACGTTTGAGGCAGGAGTCACTTCCCAGTTTGTCTCCAAGAACGGTAAGCAAAGGATGGTGTCTGTTTCTCTGGTTTCCTCAATGACAAGGAGTGTTGGGAGCTTGTCTTCGGGTAACAGTCAGCGGTCTGCATTAGAGGAAGGCTCATTTTCCCAGTCAAGTCCACAGTATCAGTCAGTTTCTTCATGTCCCAGCCACAGCACAATTTCAGTCCGGAGAATTTTCGCTCTGCTTGGCAAATATGTCAGCCTTTTGAGCCTCAGTTTTAGTCTGAAAACAAGGGTAAATCAGTGTTTACCAAGGTGTGGCCTGAAGACACTGAAGACAATTCTCGGGGTGGGGTGGGAGGAGGGGGCAGGGGACATGAATAAGCATTTGTTAGTAATGCCTTTATTTTAACATGTTTTAAATTTATGTCTTCTGTTTAAGGCAAGCACCATTGTTTTTCCATTTAGTGTTGTGATATACCTTATTCAGCTACACTTAATTTTAAAAAGTGAGTCTATTTAGAGAAAATATTAAGTAAAGAGTAGTACAGGTGCGTAGTAGGCAGAGATGGTAAAAATCGTTAAGAAGGCATGCAGATGACTGAGTTTTGGGAAACACCACAGTAAATACTATTTAGATTTGCAGGTAATTTTTCAAATAATCCAACCCAGCCCTGGTTGCCAGGCTACCCTCGTCCCAGCTGGACCAAGTGTTCTCTGTAATGTGTCCATCCAGCCCTTGGCCTAAGTGACCAGGGAGCCATGTTGTCTCTGCCCAGTCACTGCCTCCACGGTCAGTCCAGTGGTCACCGGGCTCCTTTAGGAAGACCGAACATAGGAGACCCAAATACAAGGAAAGACCATCTTGCTCTGTGTCCTTCATGCCCTGGGGGACACACATGAGGCCGGAGCACCGTCTTCCTGGGATGCTTTTCTCCATCCTATTGTATCTAACATCCACGGCCCCGGAAATGTGACCTCCCTTCTCCACCCAAGCCTTGACCCACCATCGTGTTTCCTTCCTAAGTCTGGCCACTGTGCCTTTCTAGAATCTTCCTAGTCCTTAGGCTGGACCTCTTCCCCGACTTCCACCCATCTCTCCTTTCTCTGAGCTCCTGCAGCCCTGAAGGGGTTGCCCTTGCCATCTCCTCCTCTATTCCGGGGTAGGGCATCCTCAGTGTCGGGCTGGGCTTCCCTCCACGGGGGCTCAGTGCCCAGCAGATGCTCGAAAACACTGATCACAGGAATTGACCATTGACAGGGCACCTACCTAAGCAGAGCCTGGACTGGGCACTGTGGGGTTTGGAAAGAGAAAGGAAAGAAGGAAGGAAGGATGTGAGGGATGGAGGAAGGAAAGATTTGTTCATGGTCTCAGAACAAGTCTCTGTTCTGTGGCTCAAAATGTATATGAAAGGACAGAACACTTGTTTAAAAGCAGCTTAAGGATGCTTGCAAAAGCATCATCTAAATTAATACAGTTGCAGGCAAGTTAACTCTGTACAAATGAGCTTACGGAGCCCAGAGTAAGGAACGGGGATCACTGGGCCTGAGGGAGAAAGCGCTACTAGCCCTCATCATCTGAACCCAGCAACAGCATTGATTTGGGTATTGAGCAACCCAGCCATTCTACAAAGTCTTTTTGCCGGAACTAGCTGGGAGCCTGAAATAGTGGGGGTATTGCCTGAGGTCACACAGCTTTAATGACAGAGCTGAAATGAGATGCGGACTCCTGGGACTCTGCGTCTTTCTGCCCCGCTCTCTGCCCTGGCCAGCTCACGATGCATCAGAGAGGTTGAGGATGCTCGGGTGGGTGCTGGATTTCGCTATAGCTTTAGTTCTCCTCCCAGTAAACTCCCTCCTTCCTGGGACCCTGAGAAGGAGCTCAGGACGTGGCATGAGAACTAATTGGAAATGCTCCATCTCCAGGCACATTGTGGAACTGAGTCCCTGTTCTCCCCTGTTCCAGGTCCTGGGACTGTCGACAGCCAAGGACAGATTGAGTTTCTCAGGTGCTACGCCACATTGAAGACCAAGTCCCAGACCAAATTCTACCTGGAGTTCCACTCGAGCTGCTTGGAGAGTAAGTGGCTGCTGAGCTACCTTCTGGGCGGAGCTGGCCGGAGCCTTCTTATAAACGTCTTTCGTACTTGGCACTTTGCCCCATTTCTCCTCTCCCTGGAAAAGACTCACAAAGCGGATCAGAGAAGTGGGGCTGCAGGTGGATGGCTCAAGGGGACACTCAGTTACTGCCAAGGGTCCCCCTGTGGCCTGTGCAGCCCTAGGGGCAGGGGTGGCCATGAATGTACTGACCTCTCAGTCCCTTGTAGGTGGCAGGCGGGATCCAATCCCTGCCCCTGAGGGTGGACTGTGACCCGCTCAAGGTTCCCTGCAAGCTGCGGCTCTGACTCAGCCAGAGAGTGTTGGGCCCAGGTCCAGACCTCAGAGAGCCAGTGTGAGGGCCTGAGCAGTCGCTGCCTGTTGTCGCCCTGGCCCCTCTTGCTCTTTGGAGATCGTGGCGTCTTTCTCAGGGGGTTTGCAGTGTCCAAAAGCAAGCAGGAGATGGACAGGCTCCCCTGAGCCAGCGGCATTTAGCACAAACTGTGTTTAGGAAACACCCTTTCCAGGTGACATTTCTAGGCATGTTGTCTAAAGCTGTTTCACGGCCAGGGAAGAGCTGCGTGTATCCAGCCCTCTTCGCTGAGATGGTCTGCATAGTGGTCGGGGGAGGAATAGGGGACATCAACTCCACAAAAGGGCATTTTGTGAGGGCCTGGCTGGGATGCTTCCAGAAATCAGGAAGAAGCGTGTGCTGCCAGTTCTGCCCCTCTGGTCCCTTCCTCCTTCTCCAACTCAGCTGGGCCCGGGCCTGGTGCTACAGCGGCCTTTGCCACTGAGTCCCCAAGCCCCAGTTCACCCAGCAGGGTCAAAGCGGTTCGAAAAATGATGAAGATTTTTGTGCAGGTGGTTTTAATAAACTATCAAGACACTTGCATACATTTCTATGGAAACAGCATATTAGGAAGCTTAAATTAGAATTTCAAAAGGCTGCTATCTTGAGTGGCGTGGGACGAGCTGTCAAGTTTCCTAATCTTTTTGCCTGTGATGTGATGATTTCTTTGTTGCCTGGTTTGTTGCAAAGAGGAACTGAAAAGGAGGGGGAATCTCTTTGGTTTTCCTAAAAATAATTAGACCATGTTGGCAAATGACCAGTCCCTGAACAAAAACAGAATCCCCAGCAGGCCTGACTCCTAAATGATGCTGAGGCCCCGAGATTTAAAAAAAAAAAAAAAAGGCGAGAGCACATCTTCCTCGGTCTGGGTGGGGTGACCCAGGGAGTCTTTTCTGTCTGGTTCTTGCTCTGTTTTCTGAAAACCAGCCTTCTTGTCCTCCAACAGGTTTCGTCAAGAGTCAGGAAGGAGAAAATGAAGAAGGAAGTGAGGGGGAGCTGGTGGTGAAGTTTGGTGAGACCCTTCCAAAGGTAATTCTAGAGCAAGGCATTCCCCAAAGGAAGACTTGCATTTGCTAGGCCGGGAGCACCAGCCCGCGGCAGAGCTATGGCCAGGCCTGACCAGAGGGAGCAGAAATCTCATAGACCGAATGCAGAAAGAGGCCCCCTCTAGGAGCAAGCTCTCGCTCGCGGTGGTTCATGACACGCTTTGCAGCAGTTGGTATGTGGCCTCATTATTCCTAAATGGTTTCAGTTCCCCTAAAGGATCACAGAAGGGATCTAGAGGTCAGCTCATCTAACCACATGATTTTGCAAAGAAGGAAAATCAGGTGCAGGGCCAAGTGCTGTTTGTTCATGGCCTCATGGCTGCGGTAACACACCTAGGATGCAACCCCAAGACCCCAATCCCCGCTTTGATGCTTGATTTCCTATTCAGTGCTGGTTCATAGAATTGAGTACAGAGAGGCATAGAGAGGGGTCCGTTGGCTGCTAATCGTACACTTGTGAACACACGAAGTACTTGACATGTCTGTGACCCTGCAACAGCAGAGGGTGGAATTGAAAACACTCAACCAAACCTTAGTGGGAACACAGTCTTCTTTGCTATAGAAAAAATGGTTTTCTGGCGGGGTGTGGCTCACACATGTAATCCCAGCACTTGGGAAGCCAAGGCGGGGGGATTGCTTGAGCCCAGAAGTTCAAGACCAGCCTGGGAAACACAGTGACACCCCATCTCTACAAAAAAAAAAATCATTTTTTCTTTTTTTTTTTTGAGACAGAGTCTTGCTCTGTCGCCCAGGCCGGAGTGCAGTGGCATGATCTTGGCTCACTGCAACCTCGACCACCCAGGTTCAAGCGATTTTCCTGCCTCACCCTCCTGAGTAGCTTGGACTACAGGTGTGCACCACCACACCCAGCTAATGTTTGTATTTTTAGTAGAGATGGGGTTTCCCCATGTTGGCCACGCTGGTTTCAAACTCCTGACCTCAAGTGATCCACTGGTCTCGGCCTCCCAAAGTGCAGGGATTAGAGGTATGAGCCACTGCACCCAGCCTAAAACATTTTTTTTTTTAACTAGCCAGACATGATGGCGCATGCCTGTAGTCCTAGCTGCTCTGGAGGCTGAGGCGGGAGGATAACCTGAGCCTAGGAGATCCAGGCTGCACTAAGCTATGATCATGCCAGTGTACTCCAGCCTGGGTGATGCAGTGAGACCCTGTCTCTATTTTTTTTTTTAATGCTTTTCTACTGAATCTGCTTTTGTAGTGCTAAATTGACAGTGGAGGTGTCGGGTGTCATCGAGTACAAGCTTATTAGGAGCTTAGTGGTTGTTCATGCTGGGTGGGAAGTGAGTTTCTTTTTCATGCCGCGAGGGAGGGGTGGAATGGAGAGGAGTCCCAGGCCAGGCAGATCCATCACAGGAGGTGGGGCATCTTGGGGGGTCCCCTCGGAGGTTCCCTCGGAGGTGACACTGGAGGTGAATTTTAAAGGACAGGTGGAGGGACCCATTCTCTCCTGAGACTGGGGTAGGATGTAGGCAGGTTTCAGGGGGCTGGACCCACACTGGCATTAACCTTTGATTGGAACCAACTCTCAGGCCATGTAAAAAAGCCACATCATCTGAGGAGCAGCCGCTGACCTGAACTCCAGATTCCCCCCACTGCGGCACACTTCCAAATTACTCAGAGGCCGCGGCCAGCTCACGTGGCTCTGACTGGGATCTCCCACTGAGGCCCCAGAAGAGCTGTCAGAAGGCCCTGTTCTGGGGCTGTCTTCAGGCCCCTTAGTCATGGGGGCTCTGGGCTCCAAGGAGACATTTCTGCCTCACCCGGCCCAAGCCCCTCCTCCTGCTCTTCCTCCCTGGCTGCTTCCAGGCAGGGCCTGAACAGTAGTTTCCTCCTTTGGTGAAGCTGGAAAAGAGAGCAGCACCCCATTCCCCAACACGTTCACCCCCCTGTCCAGCTCAGGGACCCCCTAGGGCACCCTGTCTTCCTCCACTCCCCACATCCTCACAGCCACCAAGTCCTGCTGTTCCTCTTGCCTCTGTCCCCCTGCCCCCTCCCAGGGGGTCCACCCTTCCTGTCTCCTGCCTCTTGCTGAGGCATCCTGAACCCTGAGGGATCTTTCTGGAATGCCTATCTGATCCTGGCATCCCCCTCTTTATCCAGTCGACTCCCTGTTGCCCAGTGGGCTAAGCAGCCTCATCTGCTGTTCCCACAGGACTGCAGGAGCCTTCACTGTCTCCTGCTCCCTGAACCCCCGTCCCACCCCTGTTGCCTGGCAGCCTCCTCTGTTCACCCTGTAAATCTCTGCCATGGCCCCCTAGATAGTCCTCCTCCCTGCCACCCCCTGCCAGGGTGGTGGTGTCCCACAGAACATTTGTTGTTCAGATGTCTGTCACCCCACTCCCACTGCCTCCCAGGGAGGACCCGGTCTTCCTCCTGCATCCGAGGCCCCCAGCTCTGGCCCTGGGTCTAACTTAGAGCCAGGCATCACCTCGTGCCAGGAGCCAAGTGATGATTGGTGCAGCCGTGGAACCCTGGAGTGCCCAGAGCTCCACTGCAATTTCCAATCATCTGTTCTGGAACTTCTTTTTTTTGAGACTGAGTCTCGCTCTGTTGCCCAGGCTGGAGTACAGTGGTGCCAAATCGGCTCACTGCAACCTCCGCCTCCCAGGTTCAAGTGGTTCTCCTGCCTCGGCCTCCCAAGTAGCTGAGATTACAGGTACACACCACCACGCCTCGCTAATTTTTGTATCTTTTAGTAGAGACAGGGTTTCACCATGTTGGCCAGGCTGGTCTTGAACTCCTGACCTCAAGTGATCTGCCCACCTCAGCCTCCCAAAGTGCCGTGATTATAGGCATGAGCCACTGTGCTCGGCCTGGAACTTTCTGAATGGAGATGTAGTAAGTCTGCCCTGTTGGCCAACATGGTGCCCAGAGCCCTGTACCAGAGCTTTTTGGTGTCTGGAAAGGAAGGGAGGGAATCCCTAGAACAAAGTATCACCTTTTTATTTGGCCCTTCTGTATAGGAGTCATCGTGAGGAACAGCCCCACATCTGAAAAAGTCATAAATCTGAAAAGTCATAACTTGTAGCAGATGAGGAGCTAGTGTGCGTGTGATGCTCCTCCCTGCGCTCGCCCGGACACAGCCCCCACTGGTGAGGTCCGAGGCTCCCCCAGCATTGTGCAAAGCCTGCTAGCAGCACCCCCCGCCACCGGGCAGACCAGCAGGGCCTCTGGGGGAGCTGGCAGTCCCCAGTTCTGGAAACGTGCTCACAGATGGAATGTGGGAGTCTGTGTCTGTCATTCGCTGAGCCACACCCCTAACAATCTGTAGGACATTCCAGGCCCAGCTGGGGGCTCTGCCATGATGGACACAGAGCTGTGTCCTCCTCAGATAGGCGCAAGCCAGATAGGGGCAGGGCTGGGATGCAGCCACAGTCCTGGAGGGGCCAAGGAGAAGGTGTGTGCTCTGTACGGGGAGCCTGGTGCAGGGTGGAGTGCAGGGGTCATTCCAGACCTGGTGCCTGGCCCCACTTCTCCGTCAGCCTGCCTCCTCCTCCATGACCCTGGCCTAGGGATGGGAAGGAACGCGGGCAATGGATGGGGCCCATTTGGGGTCAGGCCTTCTTGCTGGGACCTGGGAGCCAGCTCAGTTTAGGAGGCCTGGGGTGCAGTGTGGAGGTAAGGGGGACAGGGAAGGAAGCTAACCCCCACCTTGCTGGACAGGGTGTATGTGAAAGCTATACCCCACCTGCTCTGTTGGGTATGGACAGCAGAGATTTGGATCTGATTACTAAGAACACCTTTCATCATCCTTATCCACCTGTACACCCACCTGTCCCCTCACCTGTCCCTTGCCCATCAACTCCAGTCCTGTGCCCTTCTCTCTGCAGCTGAAGCCCATTATCTCTGACCCTGAGTACCTGCTAGACCAGCACATCCTCATCAGCATCAAGTCCTCTGACAGCGACGAATCCTATGGTAAGGGTCTGTGGACAGGTGCCACACCTGCCAGTGAGCTGGCGGCCTCTGACGTAGCATCACCTTCAGGGAGAACCCAGCTGGCACTTCCGGTCGTAGGCTCCTGCCTCTCCTTTCCCCATCCCAGGGCTGCTAGTGGGACTGTCATCACTAAGTCACCCTTCCCTCCCGACTAGGCTTCTGGGCAGGACAGCCAGCAGTGGCAACCCCTTCCATGTATTGACTTCCCTATGCGTGAGATCTGTGCCAGGCACTTTCCAGTATTATGTGATGCAATCTTGACAAGACCTTACTGTTCTCCAACAAGTAAACAGAGGCTCAGAAAGATCAAGTGATTTGCCCAAGTCACACAGGTAGTGGTGGCTGTGCCCTCATTTGAACCCAGGTCTGCCTGCCCTTCTCTGCTTCTCATGTGTCCTGAGTCAGCCTCCTCAGCTCACAGATCTGGAGCCGCAGACCCCCCTCTGCTGACCCAGTCTCTAAAACACCTGCTCAGGCACAAAGGGGCTGCTGCTTCTGCCCCCGAGTGGCCACCTTCTGCCTGAAGACCCCCTCCCCCCAGCCAGAGCAATTTGGGCTGAGGTGTGGTTCAGGGTCCCCTGAGTGGCACTTGGGGTGCTGGAAACACCAGCCCAGGGCTCTCTGGTCTTCTGCTCGGCAATGCCCAGTGCCCAGACCAGGCAGGCTGTGGAGGCCTGTGGCCAGAGAGACACCAGGGGCTTTTGTACCATCTCTGCCTGTTTGTGGCTCCAGCCCAAAGTCAGGATCACCCTTGCTAGACCACATGTGTGGCTAGGCATGGGGTGAGACAGGCAGAGAGAGCTGGAGGGGACAGAGAGGCTGGAGGCAGGAGCCAGACCAAGCCTCTCTTTACAAGCCAAGCTAAGAGCAAATACCTTATCCTGAGGGCAGTAGGGAGCCATTGAAGATTCAAGCAAGGAAGTAACAGGATCAGAGTCACATCTTGGAAATCTGCATCTGCAGTGATCAAGATGACAGATGAGTGAGCCAGAATAGAAGTAGTGACAGTAAAAAGGGAGAGAAGAGGATAACATTGAGGGGAATGGAGTAGAAAACTGGGCTTGGGATTGGGGAAAGGGTCTGTATTAGTCTGTTCTCATGTTGTCGTCATACCTAAGACGGGTAATTTATAAGGACAGAGGTGTAATTGACTCACAGTTCTGCAGGGCTGGGGAGGCCTCGGGAAACTTACAACCATGGCAGAAGGGGAGGTAAACACATCCTTCTTCACATGATGGCAGGAAGGAAAAGTGGGTGCCCATTGGTGGGCGAAGCTCCTTGTAAAACCATCAGATCTCTTGAGAACTCACTCACCATCACTATCACGATCACTATCAATCACTATCACTATTGAGCAAAGGATGGGGAAACCACCCCATGATTCAATTATCTCCACCTGGTCCCTCCCACGACACATGGGGATTATGGGAACTACAATTCAAGAAGAGATTTAGGTGGGGACACAGCCAAACCATATCAGGGCTGCATGAATGATGCTTCCACTTCCTGCACTGGGTTAGGTGTAGTGCCGCGGGTAAGGGAGACCAAGGCACAGCCACAGCATACGAGGAAGACCAGAATGCTGTGGTGTTGGGGACACCATCAGAAGAGTTGGGTCAAGAAGAGGGTGTGGTCACAATAGCAAATGTGGCCAAGGGGCCCAACACAAAGACCGAGCATCCCTGAGATGAAGTGACTCAGCCCATCAGCAGACTTGGTGAGCACAGTGTCCATGGAAGGGCCAGGGTGACATCAGACCTTGGCACTTAGGAGTTAACAGGGCATGAGGAGGCAGAGGAGAATGCGCCTGGGTCAAGGGAGCACATTTGTCCACGTGCTTATTTGTTTGAAATGGAAGAGCTTTGAATGCTGCTTGGTGGAAGTCACTAAAGAGGAAGAGGCTGCAGACACAAAGGAAAGCCCTGTGCATAGTCGCCCACTGTGCAGGCTCTGCCAACACCTGGGTGTGGGCACTGTGGCTCCCCTCTTTGGGGAGGTGAGGAAAGGAGGCTGGGAGACCTGAAGTTCATGCAGCTACTGAGTAGCTTGTCAGAGGTAACAACAGGATCTTGGGCCTGAGCCCAGGCAGCTCTTCCCCGTTCCCAGTGCAGCGCTGGCAAGAGGGTCCCGGAGCTGGAGGAGGGGTGGGCAGAGCCTGAGGAGTGTAATGGCCCTGATGGGGTACCCTCGTCATAGATGCAAGAGCATCTGAGTGGCTGTTGAAATGTTTGAAGCTTTGATGGCAGGAAACAGGCAGTACACAAAACACATGCTTCATTTTCTCATTCAAATCCTGTATTTCTGTGACACAGCAAGACCCTGTCTTTAAAAATAAAATCCTGTAATCCTCCTTTGTTTCTTCCGCTTCACATTCATACTCACAAACAGCATATCATCATAGGAAAAGGAGAGAAAGCAACAGTCTCATTCCAGTAATCATTTTTATTTTGGTTTCACATTTCCAGCCTTATGCATAGGCACACCTAGATTTTCATAGTTACCATCACAGAAACATTATTTTATACTCTGCTTCCCTCACTTGGTATTAGATTAAATACATTTTCCATGTTTCTCCTGCCCCATCTTTGTGACTGTTCCTTTTGATGGCTGCGTTATGTTCCATGGACTTATTGCATCCTCATTTTAAAAGTATTCCTCATTTTAAAAGTACTATTATTGAGTTTCTGTCAGTTGTTTTTGTTGGTGCTATCAGTAATGCTGAGATGAATCTCTTTGTGGACATTTTTTATTATTCTTCAGCTACATTTTTTATTCTTTTGAGTAATCTCTTTAGGACAGGTTCCCATGTTTGCTGGGCCAGAGGTGTCAGTGTTTGTGGTTCTTGGCACTTGACACCAAACTGATTGCTGTAAAGGCTGTCTCAGCCGACCTCACCATGGACAGGCTTCCCCAGATCCTTGCTGGCATTGGGTGGTTTCATTTTTTGTTTTTGGAGGCCAGAGTGCAGTGGCACGATCTTGGCTCACTGCAACCTCCGCTTCCCAGATTCAAGAGATTCTCCTGCCTCAGCATCCCAAGTAGCTGGGACTACAAGCAAGCACCACCACCCCTGGCTAATTTTTGTAATTTTTCATAGAGATAGGGATTCACCATGTTGGCCAGATTGGTCTTGAACTCCTGACCTCAAGTGATCAGCCCGCCTCAGCCTCCCAAAGTGCTGGGATTACAGGCGTGAGCCACTGTGCCCGGTGCATTGGGTGTTATTTTTCTCCCTTCCTATCTACGCCAACTTCATGTCTGTGAAAGAGCAACTTAGTGATTCCTTAGTTTGCATTTTTGATGGCTAGGAAAGTGGAACTATTTTCCATTTATTAAAATTAGTCGGCTGCAGTTCTTTTCGTGTGAAATGTCTGTCTGTATTATCTGTCCATGTACGTGCTGGGGATTTGATTTTGAGGAGTTCCTTGTGGAATTCAGACGGAGTACCCTCTTGCCTGGGGAGCTGGCTGCAGATACTCTTCTCAATCTGTTTTCTTTTTATTTTAGATTTTTCCTCTGTGCAAGTTTTAAACTTGCACATTCTCTTGCCGCCAATGTTGTTCTGTCATGTCTTATACTGCATCAGATCTTGGGAAGTTTTCATTCCCTACAGCAATCAGATGAGTGTTTAATCCTGTCTTTCTGCTACGTTTTCTACAATATAATTTTTTTACATCAACTAATCCACCTTTTGTTCTAAGACTTGAGACATTTGCCCCCAAAGTACTGCGGTGCTGTTCTGACGTATTTATTAAATAACCCTTCCCTGGGCCATAGTTTCAAAGGACCGTCTTTGGATGACAGAGCCAACTCTCCGGCCAAGAGTTTGGTGTTTCCACCATGAAAAGGCTGGATCTTCACCCAGCTGTCTCCCACTTTCCCCGCAGGTGAGGGCTGCATTGCCCTTCGGTTAGAGGCCACAGAAACGCAGCTGCCCATCTACACGCCTCTCACCCACCATGGGGAGTTGACAGGCCACTTCCAGGGGGAGATCAAGCTGCAGACCTCTCAGGGCAAGACAAGGGAGAAGCTCTATGGTAAGCAGCAAGCCCCTCCCCAGCGCCCTCTTCAGCCCACCACTTAGGGACAGGAACGTGCTTTCTCTCAGCAAAGCTATCAAATATTCTCTCTGCTGCGGCCTCAGAGCAGAAATCCAGCGCTGGAGAAGATCTCAGACAATCTGACCCAGCCCTCACTCGACTCAAAAATTTCCCAACAGAACCCACACCCAGCACCCCAAGATCGCCCTCCCCGACCCTGCGGAGTGTTCACAGCCCCGAACCTCACCTATCAGCCCTTAGGCCTTGTCATTCCCCCATTAGCATCTCCGCTAAAAGAAGGACCCAGGGTACCAAGCGAACCTACCTCTTGTTAAATGGCTCCTTCCAGGCTGTCCGGGGAAGACCAAAGCTACAGCTGCAGTTGAGATTTACAATTTCTTGGGCGACCTCTGCTTGTCCACATGGCCACGTGGTGCCCACTTACATATACAAACAGACCCTTGTACGTGCCTAAACCCCGCCCTCATGGTGCCCACCCAGGTTTCTGTACCTTCCAAACCGCTTTTTTTTTTTTTTTTCTTGAGACAGAGTCTCACTCTGTGCCCCAGGCTGGAGTACAGTGGCACAATCTCAGCTCACTGCAACCTTCACTTCTGGGGTTCAAGTGATTCTCCTGCCTCAACCTCCAGAGTAGCTGAGACTACAGGCACCCACCACCACACCCAGCTAATTTTTGTATTTTTAGTAGAGACAGGGTTTCACCATCTTGGCCAGGCTGGTTTGGAACTCCTGACCTCAAGTGATCCACCTACCTCGGCCTCCCAAAGTACTGGGGTTACAGGCATGAGCCACGGCGCCTGGTCTGACAAAACATATTTGCCTGCTTTGTTCCTTGATGAGACCAATAAGTTGGAAATGTCACATGAAATGACAACTCTGGATCCCAACTCTCCTCTCTGTGGATCCACAGCAGGCATAACTAATCAATCACTGAACTCTTACAAGGCCTCAGAATCTTGCTTAGTCTCCGTGGATCCACAACAGGCATAACTAATCAATCACTGAACTCTTACGAGGCCTCAGAATCTTGCTTAACTCACCTCCCCAGGTACTCACTATTCACTGTGCAGCTTTAGCCTGCAAATGGAAACCCCTTTGCCATCCCTTGTCTAAGCTCTGGAAGCTGGGCCCTCACATGCTCTTTCCCGGCCCTTTCCTTCCAGACTTTGTGAAGACAGAGCGTGATGAGTCCAGTGGGCCAAAGACCCTGAAAAGCCTCACCAGCCACGACCCCATGAAGCAGTGGGAAGCCACCAGCAGGTAAAGTGCGTGTGGGGTAGGTGTGAGGGGGGTGGATATCAGGGACTCATGACAAATTAGCATGGTTTGGCCAGGTGTGATGGTTCATGCCTGTAATTCCAGCACTTTGGGAGGCCAAGGCTGGAGGATCATTTGAGCGCAGGAGTTTTGAGACCAGCCTGGGCAACATATCGAGACCCTATCTCTAAAAAAAAAAATTTGGCTAGGTGCAGCGGTTCATGCCTGTAATCCCAGTACTTTGGGAGGCCAAGATGGGTGGATCACTTGAGGTCAGGAGATTGAGACCAGCCTGGCCAACATGGTGAAAACCCATCTCTACTAAAAATACAAAAATTAGCTGGGCATGGTGGCACATGCCTGTAATTCCAGCTACTCGGTTGGAGGGGGGGGTGGTGCTGAGGCACAAGAATTGCTTGAACCCAGGAGGCAGAGATTGCAGTGAGCCAAGATTTTGCCACTGCACTCCAGCAGTGACAAAGCGAGACTCTGTCTCAAATAACAATAATAATCATTAGCTGGGTGTAGTAGTCCTAACTACTTAGGAGGCTGAGATGGAAAGATGGCTTCAGCCCAAAAGGCTGAGGCTGCAGTGAGCTGTGATTGTGCCACTGCACTCCAGCCTAGGCGACAGAGTAAGACCTTGTCTCAAAACAAAACAAAACAAAACACTAGCATGGCTGTGCAGACCCAGGGCCTGTGAGAAGGTGAACTGAAGCACAGAGAGACCCAGGACACAGGAGAAAGAAGCTCCAGCCCAGGAGAGGTGCTCTCCTGACTGCTCTGTGTCGTTTGACTGCTGGGGAGGTTGGTGTGACTGTGACAAAGCCTGGGAAACTCTAACGTGACGGAAAGTTCAGTTTGACTCAGCTAACATTTTTGAGTCCCTATGATGTGTCCAGTTCTAGAGAAGTCAAGGCAGATTCAGTGCAGTCCCTGACTTAGGAACTTGCGGCCTAGTGCAGGAAGAAGTGACTGCAGAGAGGATGGAGAGATTCCAAGTCTACAAATGGTGGCCGTGTCTCCTGTGGGACAAACGACACCAGCAATCATGGGATCTGTGGCCACCAAACCCCACCCTATCACTAGCAAGAAAAATCACTGCGGGAAAATGCACACCGGTTGCTCTCAGCAGAGACTGAACTGAGAATAGTACAGATGTTAAAGTCTGTATTACCAGAATACAGACATCCTTGGTAGCAGGGCTGCCCTAACTCACCGATGTGGTCTCGAGTTCCAGAATCAAGTTCTGGTCTCTTTGCCAGCTCACCAGCCGAGGAGGCAGAACCATGCCAGCAGCAGACATAGCTTGTTCCTCTCCTCCCTCCCTTCCCCACAACACTCGTCCCCACCAACCCTTGCCCTCACCCCAGCCACCCCCGTTGAACACAGGAATTCTCATCTCTAGCACATTCCCTGATCCACTTCCAGCTTCCGACGTTCACAGCTGTGGGCACACAAGCATCCCCTTTCTCTCTTTCCCTCCTATGATAATCCCATCAGCAAATGCATCCTGGCTCTGAAGTGTCTACTGGGTTCCAAAATCAGGATCAGTGTAGGGAAACAAATTCTTTTCCATTTTGACTAGCATGAGAACAAGCATTTATTTCTGAAGCAGACAGTGGTGGATGGCAGCAAGGTACAACTCGGAACCAGGCTGGCGGAGCACATGGGAGATGTGGAGTGTCCCTGACAATCTATATACTCAGAACTCAGTTCTCAGGAGGCGAGTGCCTGACACAGTGACAGCATGCAATGTATCTGTTGGGGCCACCTCACCCAGGCCTGGGCCATGCCCTCCATAGCTTTAAGCTGATTGCCCCCCATTCCAGGCTCCAGCCTTGATCTCTGTGACCTCACACTCATTTTTCTAAATATGCACGTGGCTGCCTCCATGCTGACGCTGCGCACACAAACGTGTGGGCTGATGTGTTCCAGATGAACCCCTGCCACAGTCTGCCCTGAAAATCCCCTCCTTCCTGCCACCCAGGCCACCCCCCACCATCTCTTTGCCCCACCAGCCTTGCAGCTTCTCACTCCATCCTCTGCACCTGCTCACCAGCCTTCAGACTGTCCAGGAACAGGCCAAACCCCTCTCACCTGGAGGCCTTTGCAAGTACTCTTACCACTGCCGAGAACACTCTCCCCTTCTTTCTCTCTTGTCTGCTTATCTTCTTATCTCAGCTAAAAGACCACCTCCTCAGATGGGGCCTCCTGGGGCCACCCAATGCCCAGTTGGTCCCAATGCTTCACTAGCCTCCATCTCTGCCCCTTGTTACTCTCAGACTTCAGCACTACATCAATATTGTGTCTCTGTGCCACTGAGCTTGTTTTTCTCTCCCATCAAAAGTGAGTTCCATAAGAATAGAGACCACGGCTGCCTCACTCACAGCCATATTCCCTCCTCCTGGCCTGGGGCCGGGTGCTTTCAAGGCCCTCAGTAACCACAGTGTTGTGTGGATAGATGAATGAATGAATGAATCACTGCCCAAGAGGTGAAGGAGTTGAGGAGAGCCCGAGGGAGCCCCAGGGTTGTCAGAGGACACTTTCCTTGAGCTGGTGCTGACCCTGAGAAGGGAAGGGACCCCTGAGATGTGACTCCATGTCTTCCCTGCAGGGCCCCTCCATGCAGTGGCTCCAGCATCACTGAAATCCTCAACCCCAACTACATGGGAGTGGGGCCCTTTGGGCCACCAGTGCCCCTGCACGTGAAGCAGACCTTGTCCCCTGACCAGCAGCCCACAGCCTGGAGCTATGACCAGCCACCCAAGGACTCCCCGCTGGGGCCCTGCAGGGGAGAAAGTCCTACGACACCTCCCTGCCAGCCACCCATATCACCCAAGAAGTTTTTACCCTCGACAGCAAACCGGGGTCTCCCCCCAAGGACACAGGAGTCAAGGTGAGTATCCTCTTCATTAAGACGGCTCCCTCCCTACTTATGAAAGCGCCCTGGGCTTTCACCCTCGAATGGAAGCCTCAGAAGGGCCACAGTTTGTGTCCGCTTGGCTCATGACTTATGCCTGGGGCCTGAACACAGCAGGCTCCTAAGACATGTATGTGGAGTCTTCCATGTCCTAACCTATTGGTGCAACTCAATTTCTTTTTAAAGGGTAAAAATTTGTAAAGATATTGCCAAGAAAAGGAACCTCCTATAAAAACTATGTACATATCAAAAAACAGGTTTTGGGCCGGATGTGGTGGCTCACGCTTATAATCCCAGCACTTTGGGAGGCCAAGGCAGGTGGATCACCTGAGATCGGGAGTTCAAGAGCAGCCTGACCAACATAGAGAAACCACGTTTCTACTAAAAATGTAAAACTAGCCTGGGGTGGTGGTGCATGCCTGTAATCCCAGCTACTCCGGAGGCTGAGGCAGGAGAATCGCTTGAACCCGGGAGGCGGAGGTTGTGGTGAGCCAAGATCACACCATTGCACTCCACCCTGGGCAACAAGAGCGAAACTCCATCTCAAAAAAAAACAAGTTTTGGCCGGTCACGGTGGCTCACGTCTATAATCCCAGCACTTTGGGAGGCTGAGGTGGACGGATCACTTGAGGTTAAGAGTTCGAGTCCAGACTGGCCAACATGGTGAAACCCCGTCTCTACTAAAAATACAAAAATTAGCCAGATGCAGTGGGTCACATCTGTAATCCTAGCTGAGGCAGGAGAATTGCTTGAACCCAGAAGGCAGAGGTTGCAGTGAGACAAGATTGCACTACTGCACTCCAGCCTAGGTGACAGAATGAGACTTCATCTCAAAAAAAAAAAAAAAAAAAAGGCTGGGTGCGGTGGCTCACGCCTGTAATCCCAACACTTTGGGAGGCCGAGGCAGACAGATCACAAAGTCAGGAGATCAAGACCATCCTGGCTAACACGGTGAAACCCCGTCTCTACTAAAAATACAAAAAATTAGCTGGGTGTGGTGGCGGGCGCCTGTAGTCCCAGTTACTCGGCAGGTTGAGGCAGGAGAATCGCTTGTACCTGGGAGGCAGAGGTTGCAGTGAGCTGAGATCACGCCACTGCACTCCAGCCTGGGCAACGGAGCAAGACTCTGTCTCAAAAGAAAAGAAAAAAAATGTTTCTAGAGCTAGTGAGACTTCGGGCATCTCCCGCTCCCTAGAGGGCCCCATGGGACAGGGTGGGAGTTTCCATGTAGAGCCTGCTCCTACCCTCCAGTTCCCCTCTTTTTTCTCGACCACGAGGTTCCCTGTTCTATAAGCAGCTTCCTAGTCTCTCCTGTGGGGGACACTTAGTTAGAAACTGGAACTAGGGATGTAAAAGGCAGAGTAGCTGGCCCGCAGAGAGATGGGGCCTGGCCCTGAAACTCTGGGGAAGCCCCGGACGGTGGAGAAAACTGATCTGAGTCTAGAACTGGGTCAGGCAGAAGAATGGAAGCCAGATAGGAGACCGAGCCAGGCAGCCAAGGAACGGGGTCAGCACTTCCCAAAGGCACAGCTGCTCTCCAGTATTGCTGGAACAGAGCAGAGCCAACCATGGGCCCCTCGTGGATACTCAAGTGGGGAGCTCTACATGTTTCTAGTAGCCGCAGGATGACAGACAGGCATGAAAGTGCAGCCCCAATTACCAACGACTTAAGATGGGCAAAATAGCGTGAGCACTGTCTCCCTTGAGGCTCTTTGCTGGTTTATCATAACCTAAGGGGTTCACTCTCAGCCTCTCTTCCCCTACCACTGGTTTTTTTCTTCATCTCTACTCCATGAGGACTTGGGTGCTGTCCGCCACATGGGGCAGAGCCAGCAGCGGGGGTGTACTCCATCACACTGTCCTCCAGCTCCCTCCAGCTCCACCCTTTCCAGGCCTGGCCCGGCGGGGCCTTCCTCTGGATGGAGGAGCTGTTGACAGTCTCATTTCCCAAGATGTGCGAGATATGCTCTAAAAAACAGATAGGCTGGGCGCGGTGGCTCATGCCTGTAATCCCAGCACTTTGGGAAGCCAAGATGGGCAGATCACTTGAGGTCAGGAGTTTCAGACCAGCCTGGCCAACATGGTGAAACCCCATCTCTACTAAAAATACAAAAATCAGTCGCGTGGTGGCCCATACCTGTAATCCCAGCTGCTCAGGAGGCTGAGACAGGAGAATCGCTTGAACTAGGGAGGCAGAGGTTGCAGTGAGCTGAGGTCACACCACTGCACGTGAGCCTGTGTGACAGAGCAAGACTCCATCTCAAAAAAAAGATAGATGAGAGGAAGTCAGGAAGAGAAAGAGAAAATGACAGGACAGGAGAGCCCTGGAGTTCAGCTCAGCTGTCTCTCTCCCTCTGTACAGAATGTGTTGATAGGATGTCAGACCCCGGTCATTCCCTAAGAAACTTGGGGGGAGGAGAAACAACCTCAGTTTCCTGCCCTTTAAATATGAGGACAAAAGGCACTATTCAGTGGGTATCAAGGTGCCTGTGTGGCCACCTCTTTGGAGACCCCAGGAAAGGGAGCTCTAAGCAACCCGAAAGAACGAGGAGCATGATTATTTGTGTAAGTGAATGCTTTTCAGTTCCCAAAGTGAATGGATCTTGGTGCATAACAATGAGCACACAGCTTGGTGGGAGCATGTTCCCCACAGCCCCATGGCGACAGCTGCAGACAGGCTGCCATCCACGGGCAAGGGGCCCCCAGGATGCGCTTCTAACTTATTGCTCACCAAGGAGGCGCTTGGAGTCTGGAGCCCTGCAGCTCGCACACCTGCCTCATCCCTTTCCACTGCTCCAGGTCCCGGGCTCAGCCAGAGCAAAGGCTGTGGAAGGGGGTGTTACAAGCACCATCAGTGTTTCCCCACCATCACCCAGACCCAAGTGCAGGGACTGACCTTCCTGGTTTGCCAAGTACTGTCCCAGTTTTAGCACTAAAAGCCCCACATCTCAGGAAACCCTTCAGTCCTGCTCAAGCAAGGACAACTGGTGACCCCAGACAGAAGCAGTGCGGTTAGGAAGGGGACTCTTCTCAGCCCCTGGAAAGTGCTTAGCTGCTTTAGAGATGAGACTCTGGTCTCCTGAATCTGAGAAGTACAGTCATTTGCTGCAGGAATCAGCTCTGTCCCCTGGATATCAGTTCCTTTATTCAACAACTGTGGCCTGCTATAGGAGTCAATTTCTTGTTACCTTTGGTCAGGAGAATAAGACTTACTTTTGAGTTTTTTGTGGTTTTCCCCAGTCTTCCCCGTCCGCCCCCACCAAGCCTTCCCTCTCTACGTGCAGCAGAAGCCTCCTCTTAGAGGGAAGGCTTCCCTGGTCTCTATCTCGCTGCTCTTTTCCCAGAGGAGTGAGCTTTGGAATCACAAAAGGGCTTGCACCCAGGGCTCTCTTCCTGGTCCTGCCCCCAGTTCTCTGAAGTGAGCCCCCTCCTCCCATCTCAGCCACTGAGAGAGGGTGGTCAGAGGTCAGGACTTTTCTCCTTCATCTGAAAACTTGTGACCATGCCAGTTGCTCCCTCCTGTGCCCTCTTCCCTTGGCTAACTCACAGCAATGGCCTTTGCGAGTCCACACAGGGGTCAGAAGAGGGCTGCACATGGAGGGGCACCTTTCCAAAGTCCTTGTCTGAGGCTCCAGCATTTCTATATGCACCTGCTCTAAGGTGTTTCCAAAAAATAATGGGCAACATCCCCAAGTGCACAGTCAGGCTCCCTTTGGTGTGTCCCTGAGGCTAGCCTCCTTGGAGCTCCGTGGCATCTCACTGGCACCTGTGTGAGGACGACATCCTGCCTCTCTGTCCCCTGAGCCCACATCTGCTCCCCAAAGAGTCACTGTTGAGTGCCTCTGAGCAGCTTCTCAGTGCACATTCCATCAGCAACAGGCGTGACAGCCTCAGTGGGTTCCCAGTGATCCACAGTTTCTTCACAGTAGCTTCCTTTTTTGTAGAAAGCAGATCCCAGAACACTCTCCTGGGAGATTCTGCTGCTGGTCAGGAAGTAAAATGTGTTCCCATTCCTCATTCTCATAGTTTGCTCAGCAGGAAATCACCTCCAGTCAGAGCAGTGATAAATCAGAACACAAACAAGCAAAGGCAGCGCTTACCTACTTTGGGTCACAACACAGAAGCTTTCCCTGCCCATGAGTTGGTTGGGCCTTTCTTCTAGCTACTGGCCTTGGTTTCGCCAGTACTCACAAGTGTCCGAGTTCCCTCTGACTTGCACCACAACCGCCAAGTGTTCCTTCCACTATAAGTTAGTAGAGCCTTCCAAGGAGAGGACTTCATGTGGCTGGGAAGGACGCCGCGTTAACTGGGATGTTGGCCCCCTGAGCTCAGATTCTGTCCTTGTTTGTGGCTGTGTTGCTGTGCATGGGGAAGTGTCTCACACACAAATTTGGTAGATGGAGCCTCTTGAGCTTTCACCCTCAAGCAGCACAAGTGGTTTCTGAGGAGGAGGTGTGATCGCCTTCCTGGGCAGTCATGCAAATGCTGGGTCGGAGCAGAATTGCTAGAGTCAGAGGAGAGGCTGGGGGTGGGGATGGGAGGAGCCAGGAAAGGAGGCCTGTTGACTGGGGAGGTGGGGAGGGGCTGTGGAGAGCAGGCTCATCATGAGGATGAGGGGTTGATACTGAGGTGCCATATAAGTGCTCGCTTCATTTCTCCTACAAATCCTCCAGTCCTGTGCCCCTTGCTCACAGATGCTCTGATGTGAACAAGATTTATGGTGGAAAAAGTCCTAGACCAGAACTGAGGCTCTCTTTGAGGACAACGTATGATAAACACAGTACTGTTTCCTCCTCCTTTTTTTTACTTGAGGTAAAATTCACTGAACATAAAATTAAACATTTCAAAATGAACAGTTTGCTAGGCTGGGCACAGTGGCTTGTGCCTGTAATCCCAGCACTTTGGGAAGCCAAAGTGAGAAGATTGCTTGAGGCCAAGAGTTCAAGACCAGCCTGGGCAATATAGTGAGACTCCCCCATCTCTTCAAAATAAAACAAAAAAATTAGCCAGGCCTGGTGGCATTGCTACTCCCAGCAACGTCTAGCTACTCCTAGCTACTCCCAAGTAGTCCCAGCTACTTGGGAGGCTGAGGGGAAGGATTGCTTGAGCCCAGGAGGTTGAGGCAGCAGTGAGCCATGATCACACCACTGCACTCCCACCTGGGCGACAGAGCAAGACTCTGTCTCTAGAACAAAACAAGACAAAACAATTTGGTGGCATTCAGTACATTTACAATGTTACACGTCTCTAACTAGTTCAGAAACGTTTTTATCACCCCAAAGAAAGACCCAGAGTCATTAAGCAGTCACGCCCCCATGTCTTCTCCCCTGAACATGTGTCTTCCCTGCTCTGTCCCTGTCTCTAGGCCCAGTGACCTGGGGAAGAACGCAGGAGACACGCTGCCTCAGGAGGACCTGCCGCTGACAAAGCCCGAGATGTTTGAAAACCCCCTGTACGGGTCCGTGAGTTCCTTCCCTAAGCCTGCTCCCAGGAAGGACCAGGAATCCCCGAAAATGCTGCGGAAGGAGCCCCCTCCCTGCCCGGAACCCGGCATCTTGTCACCCAGCATCGTGCTCACCAAAGCCCAGGAGGCTGATCGCGGCGAGGGGCCGGGCAAGCAGGCCCCCGCGCCCCGGCTGCGCTCCTTCACCTGCTCGTCCTCTGCCGAGGGCAGGGCAGCGGGCGGGGACAAGAGCCAAGGGAAGCCGAAGACGGCCATCAGCTCCCAGGCCCCAGTGCCAGTCAAGAGGCCCATCAAGCCTTCCAGGTCGGAAATGAACCAGCAGACCCAGCCCACCCCGACGCCGCGGCCGCCGCTGCCAGTCAAGAGCCCGGCGGTCCTGCACCTCCAGCACTCCAAGAGCCGCGACTACCGCGACAACAGCGAGCTCCCGCACCACGGCAAGCACCGGCTGGAGGAGGGGCCACCGGGGCCTCTAAGCAGGACTGCCATGCAGGTGCGGGGCGCCACACGTGGGCTCGTGTGCATGTGTGCGCGTGTGCATGCGTGAGTGCGTATGTGTGTGCCTATGCATGTGTGTGTGCATGCATGTGTGCACGCATACATGTGCTCACATGCGAGTGATGGTCTTGGGAACTGCTCCATGAGAAGGGAGAGTCAGGATTTGAACCCAGGCCTGCCTGTCCCACACATCCCTGACCCTGCATTGCCTCTGCAGCAGTTGTTGAAAGGAAGAAAGGCGGGGCTGTGGATAAACTCTTAGTCCAGTGTCAGGCCCAGAGGAAGAAGATTCCATAAAGAAAAGGAGCCTAAATCATTTATATCTCATTGTTATTATTATAATTTTTTTTTTGAAACGGAGTTTCACCAGGCACGGTGGATCACGAGGTCAGGAGATCAAGACTATCCTGGCCACCATGATGAAACCCCGTCTATACTAAAATACAAAAATTGACCCGGGCATGGTGGTGTGCGCCTGTAGTCCCAGCTACTCGGGAGGCTGAGGCAGGGGAATCACTTGAACCTGGAAGGCGGAGGTTGCCGTGAGGCGAGATCATGCCACTGCACTCCAGCCTGGTGACAGAGCAAGACTCCATCTCAAAAAATTAAAAAAAAAAACAAAAACAAAATGGAGTTTCACTCTTTGCTGCCCAGGCTAGAGTCCAGTGGTGTGGTCTCAGCTCACTGCAACCTCTGCCTCCTGGGTTCAAGCAATTCTCCTGTCTCAGTCTCCCAAGTAGCTGGGATTACAGGCACCTGCAACCACGCCTGGCTAATTTTTGTATTTTTAGTAGAAATGGGGTTTCACCATGTTGGCCAGGCTGGTCTCAAACTCCTGACCTCAGGTGATCTGCCCACGTGGGCCTCCCAAAGTTCTGGGATTACATACGTAAGCCACCACGCCCAGCCTCATTCTTATTATTCACACTCATATTTGAAAATTTCCCAGTATTTTGGAGAATTCAGCACACTTTCCCTCTCCTTCATGTAAAATAAAAAATTTTTTGAGCAAGACTAACAGTGATTAAGAACAGACTCTGGGCCAGGCATGGTGGCTCACGCCTGTAATCCCAGCACTTTGGGAAGCCAAGACGGGTGGGTCACCTGAGGTCAGGAGTTCAAGACCAGCCTGACCAATATGGTGAAACCCCGTCTCTACTAAAAATACAAAAATTAGCTGGGCATTGTGGTGGGCACCTGTAATCCCAGCTAGTCAGGAGGCTGAGACAGGAGAATTGCTTGAACCCAGGAGGTGGAGGTTGCAGTGAACCGAGGTCATGACACTGCACTCCAGCCTGGACAACAGAGTGAGACTCCATCTCAAAAAAAAAAAAAAAAAAAAAAGAACAGACTGCAGAGCCAGGCTATGTTGGATTTGAATCCCAGCCCTCCCACTTCCTAGCTCTGTGCCTTGAGCCTCAGTTTACCCATCTGTAAAAAGGGGCTGTTAATGGTACCTACCTCATAGCCTTAGAAGGAGAATTGCATTATAGGCTATTTTGTATTATTACTATGTATTATCTATATAGAAATTATATATTTATATTTATGTATTTATATTGATATCCATTACATATCATTTCATATATATGCTATACATATTACATATGTGTATATATTTTTTACATATATATAGATAAAGATATATGGTACTTACCTGGGTGTGGTGCTATGCACCTGTAGTCCCAGCTACTGGGAAGGCTGAGGCATGAGGCTAGCTAGAGCCCAAGAATTCAAGGCTGCAGTGAGCTATGATTGCGCCCCTGCACTTTCGCCTAGGCAACAGAGTAAGACCAAGGCCCCATTTCTAAAAAGCAATTTTTTTAAATAACTAGGTAAAGTACTTAGAACAGTGAGCGCTGGCTCTTCTCAGCCACATATTAAAGGAAGCCTGGCCTAGCCCACAGCATGCAGGGACCCGGGCCACTTAGTTCAACATGGCCTGGTGAGAATGAGCCCTGACAGCCCTTCTGTTCTTGTCCCACAGTGAAGCCCTCAGTGAGCTGCCAGTGAGTCGGGAGCCCAGAGGAAGAGCGCGAAGCCACTGGACCCTCTGCCAGGACCTCCTGCTGGCTCCTCCTGCCCAGCTTCCTATGCAAGGCTTTGTGTTTTCAGGAAAGAGCCTAGCTTCTCTGTGGCCCAGGGAGTTCACTGCCTATGAGACTTGGCACCAAGTGCTGAAGCTGGAAGAAAAACGCACACCAGACAGGCAACAAATAGTCTGGGTCTCCAGCTCGCTCTTGGTACTTGGGACCCCAGTGCCTTGTTAAAGGCGCCATTCTGAAGAAAGGAACTGCAGCGCCGATTCGAGGGTGGAGATATAAATAATAATAATAATGTTAATAATAATAATGACCACGTGAATCGAACACTCACGATGTGCCAAGTGCTGTGCTAAGTGCTTTACGAACATTCATCACATCAGGATGACCTCAAGAGCTGAGGCTCTAGCCACCTAAAACCACGTGCCCAAACCCACCAGTTCAAAATGGTGTGTGTTCGGAGGGGTGAAAGCATTAAGAAGCCCAGTGCCCTCCTGGAGTGAGACAAGGGCTTAGCCTTAAGGAGCTGAAGAGTCTGGGTAGCTTGTTTAGGGTACAAGAAGCCTGTTCTGTCCAGCTTCAGTGACACAAGCTGCTTTAGCTAAAGCCCGGGGGTCCCGGCATCGCTGAGCTGAGAGCAGGGATCTACCTGGCTTCTCAGTTCTTTAGTTGGAAGGAGCAGGAAATCAGCTCCTACTCTCCAGTGGAGAGATCTGGCCTCAGCCTGGGCTGGAGATGCCAAGGACTGTGCCAGGTTCCCTGTGCCCTCCTCGAGGTGGGCAGCCATCACCAGCCACAGTTAAGCCAAGCCCCCCAACACGTATTCCATCATGCAGATAGAAGAGTCTTTGCTGTTGCTCCCGAAAGCCGTGCTCTCCAGCCTGGCTGCCAGGGAGGGTGGGCCTCTTGATTCCAGGCTCTTGAAATAGTGCAGCCTTTTCTTCCTATCTCTGTGTCTTTCAGCTCTGCTTCATTGGTTATTAGGAGAATAGATGGGTGATGTCTTTCCTTATGTTGCTTTTTCAACATAGCAGAATTAATGTAGGGAGCTAAATGCAGCGGTATGTGTGAACGCAGAAGGGTATGTGTCCCACATTCCCGTGGTGGAAGTCTGCATGACCAATAAATTGTGCCTTTCTCACTCAGCTGTGTATGTGGCATTTTTCTTGACATTCGGAGCCATAGATACCCTTCTAGACGGCAGGGCCTACACAGGGCACAACTGAGGGAGGTAAGGGTTCGCGGTGGTGATGGATGGTGTTGCCCTGACCAGATGGGACACCATAGAGCCAGTCTGAAGCTGGTCCTGTACCGGGGACAGGGGTGAACAGCACTCCTTCCCTCCTTCCATCCACACATCTTCCTGGCACTCCAAGCGCCCTGCGGCGACCCAGAGGCCACAAGCATCCCCTCCATACCTGCTGTCCTGCGGCCCACAAGCTCCTCCCAGCTCTTATAAGTTTTCAGTGCTTAAGCTGCAGAGACAAAAAACTACATGTCAGCACTCCCCAGGTCATGGGTTCCCAGGTCAGGGAGCAGCCCCTGGCCCAGAGGCGCAGTGCGGGCCACTTCCATAGCACCTCTGCCCCACCTCGGGCTGCCTGGGCTCTGCTCCTGCTCACAGACACCAGGCCTGGGCTCCAGGCAGGACCTGGAACAGTGTCTTGGCAGCCTCCAAGCAAACCGTTCACTCCCGCGCCTCAGTGGCTCGTGGAGCTCAGCAGGGGCAGGACTGAGTGCCTGCTGGGACCACGGCTCCCTACCCCCGCTCAGGTGTCCCCACCCTGCAGGCTCACTGCCTGGTGTCCATGTAGAACCTGACCTAAGTCCCAGGCCCCAGCCTCTGACTCAATAGACCAAGGACCAGGGTGGAGAGAGAGCTGGAGACACCCGACATTCTTTAGCCTCCCAGCCCCCATCACCAGAGCTGAGGATCCAGGCATGGATGCCCCTGGTCCTTAGGGAACCCACTGGCTGCCGGGGTGGGCTGGCATGCTACACAAGTGCCATCATCTGCTCCGCCACAGGGAAAATGTCAAGCCCAAGGCCCCATGCCCGCTTAGGATGGATGTCTAGGCGCTCCCCGGCATTTCTGTGGGTTCCCAGGAGATACAGGTAGGAGAGCAGCTGTATGCTCATGCTCCCCCTCGCCTGCTCTGGGTTCCAGTCACTCGAGCAAATGCAGCGCCTCCACCACAGTCAAACCCAAGGCTGCTGTGAGGACCTGGCTTTGATTGCACGTGGTCAGACAGCTGAGGCCCACCTGGTGCTCAGAACAGGAAATGCTGTGGAATGCAAGAATTTTCATCCTTATCTTTTCCATCTCTCATCCCTGCACCCACCCCGAGAAGTCCCTGACCACTTTCTCCTTAGGCTCTTGGCTGCCATGATCATCTGGGTTCCACCTTGATCAGGTCTCTCTCCTGTCTCTCCTTTCCTGACAATTCTAGGCATTCCAAACACCCAATTTCCCCCTTCTGGCAGGGTGAGGGGGAACCCAGCCATCCCCACCTCCTTATCACCTACATAATTCACCTCCAAGTAATTCACCTACCCCAGGCTCCCTAACCAAGAAGGCAGGTCAATTAACCAGCTCTCCTTATCAAAGTGCTCCATTCCTAGGATGAATTCCACCACCCTCTGAGATTGCAGATGCTGCTACAGCCACTGTTCCTTTTAAGAGGTAATTTTTTCCTTCTCTGCATGATGCCGTGAAGGCTGGTTGAGAGCAGCAGAGCTTGTGCTGACAGGAAGGTGTTACCCTCATGATGGACAGTCTCTAGCAGTGCTCTTACCAGCACTTCCAACCTGCCTGCAGCCTGGAGGGCAGTGCCAGCAGCCCATGCCACCTGCAGGGACAGAGTCAGCCATGGGCTCTTCCTCCTCCCCGGATTTCCATTCTTTTTCCACACCATTTTCCCCGCTCTAATAAGAGAGAAATTAGTGAGTCATTCAGAAAAGCTCTCTCCCACAGCTACCTTCCCTGGTTCCAGCCTACCAGGTTCTCATCTTTGCATGTCCTTAAAATAGCTCCTTTCTCTTGGCAAACAAATTTCCATGGAGACCCAGCTATGGGAAGGCCCAGAAGCTTTCTGCAAGGCAGCAAACTCAGCTCCCAGCCTTCACTCCAACAGAGATCCTTTATAATGCAAATGTGTGGCCTCGCCCCCACAGACACTCCCTCCCACAAAGGTCCCATTTTGGGAAATCTGAACCACCCAGGGAACGCACTGGGAGGTTGAGTCTAGGTGCAGGCAATCTAGTTTCTTGTTATTTTCTGACGGGGTGGCTGGCCTGCACTGGTGAGTTCTCTCAGGTCACAGCAGACCGAACCACTAGGCTTACCAGTGACTAATCTCACAGCAGGCATACCCAGCTCAGGCTCTTCCTCCATGCACTTGACCACACATGTTGATGGTGTGCACTGGGCCTTGGGGGTCAGTGCTTCTACTGAGGGAGGCCATGGGGTGGGAGGGATCCTGGACTGTGGGAACAGATAGAATGGAGCTGAAATGTCTTTTATTTCCTAAAACTATAATCTTGCACAGGTTTCTTAGCTTTTCTGGGTCTCAATCTCCACATCTGTACAATGGAAGGAAGGCTACCTTCTGCCTGGTGTGGTTGTCGAAGATTCACTGAGCTCATCTCTGCAAAGTCCTTGGCTTGGTGCCTGGCCCTGCTGTAGGGGTTCATTGAGTGTTATCCTGTTCCCTCATCCTGCGAGACAAGGCAGTGAGGGAGGGCACTGTGCACTGGAAAAGAAGCAAAGAGAAGAGCTTTGGGGATGCAGGAATGTCCAAGGCAGAGGTAAAGGCAAGAGAATGAATAAATAAACAAGGCAGGCCATCCAGGGGGCAAGTCAGGGCTGTGAAAAGCCATGAAGAGCAGGGAGCTAGATCAGGCTAAGGCGTGGATAACTGAGGCCAGGAGGAACTAGATGAGGCCAGGTGGGCTATCTGAGGCTAATGAGGGGGCTAGTTGCGGTCAAGGAGAGGCGAGGCTAGTTGAGGCCAGGAACACTAGTTGAAGCCAGAGGTGCAGGTGGATTCTGTAGCTACACAGAGCACAGTTGCTCAGATGACCTGACCCAGTGGGAGCAGACCCAGCAGACGCATAGGAACACTTCATGGGGCAGTGCTGGGCAGTGTTTCTGGCCACCAGAGACATGTAGGCAGATCTAATCATCACAAAGCAGCTTTGCGCCCCACGGCGGTTCTGGATGGGCCTGTCCCTGCGAGACTCCTGCACTTGTCTCCCTCCTTTGGCTTTTTCTTCCTCCTCCTTCCCTAACCATGTCAATGACTTGCAGTCCTGCTTCTTTCTGCAGGGAATCGGGAGCCTTGGGGACTCCAGAGCACACAATGGCGTGCTTGCTCAGCACTTAGGAAGGTCAAGAATAGGGTGAGGCAAGCAAGTCTCAGGGAATGCAAAAGGTAACCGACACTCACTCTCCATTTCTTACCCTGAACTTGCACCACCTCAGATTTAAACATCTCCCCCCCCGTCCCTGCCTTGCCTCCCCTTCATCCAAGCCCTGCGGAGCAGGCAGAAAAGTGAAAGTTTGATTCCAGAAGGAGGCGAATTCCTGTGGCTGAAAGGTGAGGACGCCCTGACCCGCAGCCCTGGCAGGGCCTTGGAAGGAGAAGGAAGGGCTGGAGGTGCAGGCGGGAGAGGCCATCCTCTGCATCATGTGGAATCCTGTTTTAGTGCATGGGCTATAAATTGAATTTCCAGGCCTTATTTAGAGTACATCCCCACAAATGGCTTGTCCTGCTTCTGTTATTTTTAAAAAGCACTCTGTTTAGGTAGTAGTTGAGAGCACAGACTCGGGAGCCAAACTGCTTAAACACGTCAAAAATGTGCTAGGCTGTGAGCATTGTGCAGAAGAAGGCAACATGCCCAGCTTCCAGAAGAGGCCGACGCACAGTCCAGCAGTTACAGTGCCAGGTGGTAAGGGGTATGCAGACAAAAGCCCCCGGCGATGAGTTTCCTTTCAGGGTTAGCTGGGAAATGTTTCAGATTTAGAGTTAGTATTTAGAATGATAACTAGACTGGTGCTGAGGATCTTGGACTCTGGGGTCAGAACACTTGGGTTCAGCCCCCAGCCCTACCGCCTGCCACTGACTGGCAGGCCATATGACCATTGCTAAGTACTTCACTTCGATTTCTCCATCTGTAAAAAGGAGATGATAATGACATCGACCTCACAGAGGACTTGTGAGGATTAAAAGGCATGCTAATGTAAATAGCCCTGCTGCAGGTAAGCACTCAATACATGTCACTGTTATCAACATGATGCTGTCACAAAGACAACGTAATTCTCCATGTTCCCACTGCAGCCTTGGCAGCTACAAGGCCACAGAGTTGTTGCCATTTACAAGCCCTTCTCAAGGTGACTCACTTCTGGACTCAAGGCCTGGTCTTGGCCCCAGATCTGACAAACAGCAGGGCCTTGGCCAGGTCACTCCTGCAGGCCACACCATTTGTGACACCTGTGACACAAGAAGTAAGGCCCTGTGCCTGCCAGGAGGGGCACGGCACCTGCAGCAGCACAGCCACCACGCACAGCCACAGTCCCAGCACCCATGTGCTGGTGAGGTCCACCACTCATTCCCCATCCTCGGATGCCTTCTACAATCCAGCCCCGGAATCCTGTCCGACCATTGCACAAAGCAAAGGGGGCCTGGGACAAGTGTGCCTCCATCTTGCAGGCTAACTGCTGGAGGAACTAACCCATGCGGAAGTGCTCCCCACAGGGCAGGGGTTCTGGACCACGACACTACTGACATGTGGGGCTGGGTCATTCTTCGGTGTGGCGTTGGCTGGTGCACTGCGTAGCAGCATCCCTGGTCTCTGCCCACTAGACGCTAGAACCCACCCCCAGACATTCCCAGATGTCACCATCTGGCAGAGAGAATGGCACAATCACCCCCAGAAGTGGACAACTGCCATAGAGCACTTCTGAGAAAAGGTTGCTCATTGCTGAAGAAGGTAAATATACTAATTTTGACACCAAACACACACAAATATGCATGCATGCGCACGTGCAGGAAGGAGGTGTCCCCCCACGAATCTGGAGAAATATCACGGGGCTCGGCTGGGCGTGGTGGCTCACGCCTGTAATTCCAGCACTTTGGCAGGCTGA